AAGATTTGAGTCTTATATTTAATTAATATATAAAATAATCATAATTTCTAGATGAGACGAAGTATGTCAGCTGCAAACTTATCTCTAACATCAAAGTGTGTATATCCGTTTTATTAATACTAATATTATGAATGATAGAATTACTGATTCATCACTTCCAGGAACAATGCAAGTATTTTTTGAATTGACAATGCAATTGTATTTGATGATATCATCATTTGGAGACCAGAAAGAATATACTTTAGAACCTTCTCTATGAGTTTTAGAATTTAAAGCAGTAAGCATTTGTGATGATGGTGAGAATCCATTATAAGTACTACAAGTAGGTAATCCAGTTGCATAAGTGCAATCAACTAAACCATAATTAGCTCCAGCTAATCCAAAGAAAGCAGCAATAGAATTAGTAATTGGATCTCCGACAGTAAATTTACTAAACAAAGATTCTGAATAAGTTCCACCAATAATAGCTGCTCTAGCTAATGTGACTCCCATTGAATGACCAATTACAATAACTTTACTAGCTTTTGTATAAGCAAGAACACCTTCTATGAAACGTCTAGTAGTCATCACATATTTCTCAGAATGACTATTTTATGAAGCCAAATTAGGATTGGCAGGTCCTAAAAATTATTATTATAAAATCTACCCCATGTTGTTACATACAAATCAGCTTTAGTGTATCCACCATAATTTTATAAATATTCAATAAGTTATGTGAATCCAGTCTACCAGCCAACTGTTCCACCATTACCAACTCCAATATCAGAATTTCCATGAACAAATACAATTGGATATTTTGAAGGAGCAGTAGTTGGTCTAGTTTCAGCACCTCTAAGAACATAATTGATTATTTTATTACCCATATGTTGACCAAGTGATATCAGATCTAATGAAATCATATTTTGTATCAAAAGATTTTATGAAGGATGCAAAATCTGCAGTAAATCCATGATCTATTGTACTAACATTGCTCTCATAATTCATATAGGCTGTAGCACCCAAAACCATTAATACTCCAAATGTTAACAAAAGTGTTTATGTTGTCATCGAATTCAAATAAATATCTAATTAGAGAATCAATGTGTTTATTAATTTGCGAACAAAGATATTTCGTCATCAATTATTGCGTAATTTATAATTATTTTGATAATTATATTTATTATAAAATTATTTATATAAAATTCATTGATATTATCCATATTCTTTAAACATCATAGCCATATCTGACAATTAATTCTTTTTAGGCATCACTATTCTTGGAGGTTGATTATCTTCTAAACTGAATAATTATTTCTCAGCTAATTCTTTTTTAATATACATTAGATAAGTTGATCTACTCATATCCGAAAATTTTGGCATAAATTTTAAATATGTTTTCTCATCATCATCAATATACTATTTCTAACCTCCTTTTTATTTGAATAACATTTTACTCAACTCCTTATTCTCAATATCCATTTTTCTTTCCACTCCATCTATTATCATTCCAATCACTTAATGAGATTTCTTTTACTATTTTTCTATCTAATCTCTTATCTATTTCTAAGCCTTTTATTGTTTCTCTTATTGTAAAATTAAATCTGTTCCCTGAACCTCTTAATTTATTACTGATTGACTTATCTATGAACTTTTCTAGGTCTCATTTACCTTTTTCAATATAGGCTTAGGAATTTAACTTTATTTTGGTTATGTTAAGTTTTATGTTGATTATATCTTTGTATCATCTAATCCTGTTTGAGAATTTCTTCCTTAAGAAGCTTGTAGAGATGATTAATGATTAAAAGGTTTCTTATCAATTTCTTATACCAAAATTCTTACGTTTTTTCTTTGCTTTGAAGTTTAAGGTTATAAACTTTAATTTTCAGGATTTTATACTTAAGTTTCTTTTTCAAAAGCTGACTTTAATTTTTAAATTCTTTCTTTTTCTTTCTATTCTCTAAGTAAATTAGCAAAAAACTTTGATAAACCTAATGCTTCTCTATGTTTATAAATAAAATCTTTTAATTTCTTCTTTTTACTTTTTTCTAATACTTTTCTCAAATAAATTGTTTCTTCTTCATCTTTTAAATCAATATTAACATTATTTTATACAATCTTTTTACCTGCTACCATTTTATCTATCTTTTTTCTTTTTAATTCTTTTAATTCTTTCTCTGCTGTTATTTTACCATCAATAATATGTGCTTAATCTCTAACTTTTGTATCTATTTCTACTTTAACTGGAGGAGAATTAAAGGATTCTTTATAAAACATAATTTCTTCCTTTGCTTTTAAATTTAACATTTTTCTTCCAAAATAAAATTCTTTTTTATCAAAATCTTCCTTCTTTCTTAAACTAAATAATTATCCTAAAATATCTTTATAATCTCTAAATTCATTTGTTTCAATCTTTCCAGTTACCATTTTATTAACATATACATCTAAATCTTACTTATGATGTTCATCTCTATCTGGATGTTCTCTATATTCTATATTTTCTAATTATCTTTTTAATAATGTTCCTGCATTACTTACATTTCTCTCATCTTATTTTTTTGGTTTTGGGTATTCATTAAAATATTAATTTGTTGTTAAAATTTTAGATTTATGATCTAAAGGTCTTTCTAATCCAATTTTAATTAGACCAACTGATTTTCCCAATTTTCTATTTAATTTTAATAATCTTCTATTATTTACTATTGGTTTCTTTGCAACTGATTATGTTCTTTTCTTTTCAAACATATCATCTTCAAATTATAAATTATCTATTGAAGGAGCAAAAAAACTTCCATCAAAAAAACTATCTTAACTGTTTGAATCACTATCAAATATATTAATTGATGCATCAGTGCCATGAGGTTATGATTATTCAACAACTTTTTAATCAAATTATTTATTTATTTTATGTTCTTATTTTATTTATGTTTTTAAATATAATTATTAATTTAAAGGTTTTATTTGAAAGAGATGATACATATCATTATTAAACTTTTTTAAATATTAAGATTCCGATTATTCTTATTAATCTCTATGTTTTTTCCTTATTTTATGTAATTCAGAATCTAATGTTGATTCAGCTATAAAACTCAAATCAGCTAAATCTTTAAGATTTTATTCAACTCTATGTTTTCCCTCACTCGCCAATTTTATTATATGTTTCTTAAATTCATCTATTCCTTGTATATATTTTTCTGCTAACCAACTAGCTGTTGTTAAAGACTCTACTATCCTATGATAATTATTTTAAGCTTCATAATTACACATCATTGTAACTAAAGCAGATAAAGCTGTAATAACACATCTTTTCATCCTCTTTCTTTCTCTATTTTTGTACTTTCTTTATGTAAATTTCTCTTAATTAATTCTAATCCTCATTTCTCCACATAAAATTACTATTGCTTCTTCAGCTATTTTCAATGATTCTTCATATTCACTTATTTCATAATAATAATTTGATAAATAAATTTTGGCTTTAGCGCATGCATTCACTAAATTTGGATTTGGAGTATCTAATATTTATTTTGCTATTCTTTAAGCTTCCAATAAATAATAATAAGCGACTTTTGGTTTATTTGCTTTTTTAAATACTAAATTAGCCATTAATTACAATTCAATTAAATTGTAGAAGTATTAGTCTAATTCAAATTATATATTTAATGGTTTTGCTGTTTTAACTATCATATTTGCTATACGACTAGACTCAGATACTTCTTATTCATAAAAATTGATTTCTTTTGCTTATTTTTTTATTTTCTCTTTCTTTGGTTTTTCATATTCATTAATTTTATAGAAAAGTACAGTAACTTCATGTTCTTTTATTCTTTCTTATTCCTCCTCATCAGAACTTGTCAAATGTGAAACTTCTTCTAAACTAAAAATAGAAATATTTCAATACACAACTCCTTTCATTTCATTTGGCATAACTTTTTATATGTAAAGATTCAAGTATTTGTATAATTCAAATATTGCTTAAGTTCCTCTATGAATAATTTGAATCATCATTTCTGGTCTATCTTACTCAATGTCTGGTTTTAACAATCCTTTTTTTATTATTTTATTTATGCAATTTATTATCCGACGATTCAACATAACCATTTCGCTCAATTCCAAATCTTTTCGTTGACTATAAAACTTATCTAAAAGTTAATATGCTCTCTTATAAAGTTTCTATTCAACTTAATAAATTAAGTTACTTTTTATATCATTTTACCAGTTTCTCTGTGAATATAATCATAGCTACCCTACAATAGACTTTTTAATTTACTCTCTTCTTTATTTTAATGAGATTATTATTAATGAGATGTATTAACAGAAGAAGTTTCTTTTTAATTCATTAAATTAATGTTAATTCTAAATTTTTTTATTTTGTTGAAAATCAGATGTTTTTCTCAAGATTTTGTTTATATTTTGATTGAGCTTTGATTTATTTAATTCTTAATATATTATTAATTAATATATAATATATAAAACATTAGGATTCATTGCTACTTACTTTCTATCACTACAGTGATTTCTGATTCTAAATTTTAATATTAATCTGCTAATATTTATGGCAACTATCCTATTTCTTTCAAAGAATTCATAAAATAGTCTAATTCTTCTTTTATTCTTGTAAATCCTATTCTAAAATGATCAAAAATACTCTTACTTAGAAGTAATATTAAGTTATCTGAATATTTTGACAAAATCTGAATTAAGTATTGAAACAATATGACCAAAAACATAACAAAGATCGTATTTTGTAATAATATCCTCAATCGCCACATATAATGATCTTGTATTCTAACAAATTTAATTAGTCATTTTAGTTGGAACAGTAATTTTAGTTTAGGAATCCTATATGATTAATAAAATATATAATATAATACATTCCAATCTAATTTAGCAATATCTTCAAAATGTTTATAAAATCTATCTTATACAATAGTAGTTAACTTGGCCATTACTTCAGCATTATGATTTTCATAATCCACCTTGATTGTTGCAAAATCATTCTAGATTTGATTTAAGTTTGAAAATTCATTTTATTATTATTAACTTATTTATTATTTAATTATTTTAAATAATTTGTTAGATAAAGGTTCTAATAAGTATAAAAAGAGTCTCAAACATATTGATGATATAGCTAAATTTTTAGCTGTAATTGTTGATATTTTACCAAAATGAACTGCCCCAGCTCCTAAAATATATTAAGTAGATAAAGAATTATAGCTTTTAATTAGTTCAACTAATTTTTATGCTTACTCATAATTAATTATTGAATATGATTCAAATAAATGCATATACTAACTTATAGCTTATAAAAAAAATAAGAATGCTTGTGTTACCTTATATTTTGAATTATCTTTTAAAATGATAATTTCAGTTTTTATAATTTTAAAGTGTTAATTATTTACATATGAAGGTAATAAATTTTTTCCTGCCATTGTACTATTATTAAGGAGAATACTTTCATCTAACTATTCTACTTGTTTCAAATCTTCTAAATCTAATAAATAAGTAATTATTTCATAATTGTCAAAAGATACATCAGAAGCTAACCACATTTCATTCTCTAGATATTTATTTAATTGTGTTTTCTTCTCTTTATGAAAATTTTAGAGAAATTGCTTTTCTTAAGCACTTCTCATATAAATTAATTAATTAATAGAGCATTTTTAATATTATCCTCTAATTTTTTACATTATTTTATCATTAATTTGTAAATCTTCATTCATTCTAGACATTTCTTATTAATAAAATTAATCCCAAAATTTATAAACCTAAAGTAAATCTATAAAATCTTTAACTGAAGATTCAGATGCAATTCTTTTTGATGATAATAATAAGGCTACTTTTTCATTAGCAAATTTTAACATAGCTACAGGAATAGAAAAATGTTCTTCAATTATTTCCATGTGTTTTGGTTAATCCAATACATTTTTAGCAATTGATTAAGCAAGTGCAATTTAAAGATTTATTGTTTTTTTTAAATTCTCTGAAAAAAATTAAACTATTTTTATAAAGATATTTAATGGTTATTCTTCCATAGATTAAGATATTTATTCCATAATAGACTATTCATCAAATTTAGTTTATAATTGAGAATCCTCTTGATTAAAAAAGTTCTTAATTGCTATGAGAAATTCTTAATAGTATCCTTGTAATTCTTCCATGACTTTTTATTTAAATATTTTATCGCCCATATCAATTATACCAGAAGAAGATAAAAGAGTTTTAATAAAACTGTCATCTGATTGTTTATTGATTGAAATAATAGATTATTGTTATTATTCAAACCAGCTATCATTTACATATGAATTTGCAAGGACTGAATCATCATGATCATTTAATTAATGTGTTAGTTAATTTATAAGTTATTTATTTGGTGTTAATAAAGTTGTCATTTAAGTAAGCATAATTGATAAAAGATGATTTTAAATTGTAATTAATAGATTTTTTTAAAATTATTCTAATTTTTAGGGTATGAATTTTAAACTTGATAATGATTTAATTGATTAATATGTTTATTCACTTACTTTTAGTAATTAAACTGCTTAGGAATATTTTTTAGTATTTATTAGTTCTGTTAATGTAATAAAACTTTTTTAAATTGATTAAACACGTTTAAGAATGAATAAAATGTTTTCAACTTTTTCAATAGTCTAAACTATATAAAATTATTACTTGTTTTTTCCTAGTGATTTCAGTGCTTTTTTTAATCATATGCTATCTTGTTATACTATAAATTTCTCGTATTCTCTTAACTTTTTTAATATTCTAATCAATAATTTAATTCATTTCATTCAAATTTAATACAATAGTTAAAAAATTATCAAAACGAGAATTGATTTAAAAAAATAAAGTAATCTCTACATCATCTAAATGATCTTTAATCTCTTCTAAATACTGATTTATTTTATCTTTGCCTAATGAAAATAATTGATAGTTGAATCTGAATGGTTAATCAAAAAAATATCCAGGCACTGTCTTATAACAATCTATAACCATTTCATCTAAATCATCAGGTATATCTGATTATTATACTTTTTTTTGATTTTTTCTATACTCCATATAAACATCTCTTATGGATTATAAGTATCCAACAAAATCTTTAAATCCTAAATCTTTAATAGACTATAAATCTGAAGAGCGAGAAATAGTATTTACTATAGCTTGAGCATCCTTCAATGATATTGGATGTTAGGGTTCTTAGGTTTTTCTTAGTACTCTTTTGAGTAACTAATCAAAATAGCCCTCTTCTATTACAGTAAAAACTATTTGTTATTCTTATTTGTTTTCCTCACTAATTATTCCATAAAGAATACCTCATCCCAGATTGCTTAAAAATATCAATTAATATATTATAATATTTCACTTAATTCAGATTATTTTAGTATTTCTTGTAATTAAGGATCATTTCGGTATTTTTTTACAGACTTTAGCAATTTTAATCTAAATCATAATAAAATTATACTTATTTGAATTATCAATATGATAAGACTTATTATTAATAATATCTGTATTTTCAGAATGTTCCAATAATTATTTTTGTAATTAAATGTTAGATTCATTTTTGAAACTAAAAAAACAACTTGTATCTTTTACATCATCTAATAAATTAAAAGGAGACTATTATAATTATTTAACTAATTGTTAATGTTCAATTTTTGATGCAAATTTTATATTTAATTTTTATTAAGGTTTTTTCATTTAATTGAAATAATTAGCTAAATTATCGCAATAAGGAGGATCTAAAGAATAAATATCATTTTCACTCCATTTGCTAACCATTTAATTAATAATTTTATTTTTCAATTTTATGTTATTATCAATACATTTATAGGTCTTGGCAAATGTAATATAAACAATGCTTAAAGTTCTACTCCAACTACATAATACTCTAACAGCTGGATAATTAGTCATATATTCAACAGGTCTTTATTAATATTACAAACAAGAATTGGTACCCCACCAATAAATCTTTTTTGTATCTAAAATTACTATTGATTGTTTATGACCAGCCATAACTTAAAGAACTTTTGATTCAAAAGGTACAATTTTAGGATAAGATTCATCCTTAAGATTTCCATGTCCTAACTGTCCCATTTAACCCCAACCCCATGTATATACTTTGCCTAATGTAGATTTGGCTATTGTATGTTTCATTCCACAATGAACTTCTGCTATTTTATCCTATAATTCTATTAAAGTTAATTCATTTCTTGAATGACCTCTATTTATTCCTAATTCTCCAACTGTATTTTCACCCATTGAAAACATCAAACCATTTGTAGATAATACTATAAAAAATTATAAACCATGTGAAATTTGATGCACTTGCAACTTCTATTATATTTAACTCATTCTAATAAATGTTGTCCAAGATTTCAATTCTAAAGGTTTTTTTTGTTTCTTTTTCCATATATATATTAAATTATTTTCATCAACAGCTATATTTTCATCATTATAAACAGAAAATAATTTAACATCTTTTAATATACATTATTTTTCATCTGTCGAATATAAAACATTATCTTAACTTAAAATTAATCCATGATTAGCACCTGATTTAATTGATTTAACTTTAAATTGAAATTATATCTAATTAATTTTATTAACATTTTATTTAAGTAATCCTTACTATAATTAATCATTCAATCCCCATGAATAAATTTTATTTTATAATGTACCTACATATGCATGACATTCTCCTATAGAATAAGTAGAAATATAATTCTGTTTTTCATAACATTCTTTAAAACATCTCTTATATAATGATGTCCATAATGTATCGTAGATTTCACTTACATCTGTTAAAATTTCTAAGTCTATAACTTAACTAAATAAATCAATTTTTTTGCCAGGAATATTTTCTTATTCATTCTCTAATATAGATTCAATATAACTATCATGCAAATTCATGAATTCTTATTCTCTAATTCTATTTAATTCATTTTCCAAAGGTTTTAAAACTTAATCTTCATATTTTCTTTATTTTCTATATTAGTTGAAATACTTTCTCACTCCACGTTAAATTATTATAGTAGCAAATCTAATTCTCTAAAATAAATTGGTCAACCATTTACTTCTAATCCATCCCTATATATAGGTAGTAGCTGCTCTTAATGATTAATAATATCTTTTTTATTAATTTCTACGTACATATTTTTAGATTGTAGTTGCAGCCTGATTAGCTGTAACTAAAAATCCAGCTAATTTAATTGATTATATATTATCTTCATTTATTTAACGAGTAATATAACCTTTCCATATTTTCTAAATTCTTGTTGCAGCTCTATAAACAATAACTTTCCATGCTTAATCAGTTACTTTATTTAATAATTTTTTTATATCACTTTCTATTTCCTATTCTTAATGCAATTACTTTTATCTTATAAATCTCTATATTTTAACTGCACATTATTCTTCCACAATCATTTATTTAATTGCACATATTCTTCTAAAATATTTTTAAACCACTTTTGATGATTGTAAATATCTTTTATAATTAATTCTCTTTAAAAACTCTCTAATTTTAAACTATATAAAAACTATTGACTACACTAATCTTACATATCTTTATCTTTCTAAATATCCTCTTATATGAGCTTGAATGTATATTACTCTACACTAAAATTCCCTAAAAATCATTTTGTTTTTATAACATATCCATGCATTCTATAATTTTGATGCAGCTTAATGCTTCAAATTATTCTACTTCTTTAATTCTTACTAAATTATTCGATATGTTTAATATCTAAAGAATACCATTCTATTTCCAAATAATACTTAGTCATCTGCAAATGCAAAGTTTTTCTTAATATAATTTATGACTATTGCTTTATAATCAACTTTTTTCTGTTAAATTGTAGAAAAGTATTCAAAATAACATTATTAATAAGTTCTTCTGTATGCATATCCTTCTTTCCTCATTTATAAACTTTCAATTACACAAGAATCTCTTATTTAATTTAATACAAATTATTGATTAAATTAGTCTTTTATCATTTAATCATTTGGTTTAATACATCTTATAAAATAATTATTAAAATCTTTCATAGAACTAATTAAATTTTATAAATCTGTTCTTGCTACCGTTCCTAAATACTTTTAAGTAATCATTTATTAGTAGATTGTCGATATATATTAATTTTTAGATTTTTAAAGTAAAATTTAAAACTGTTTATTAACTTCATCTTTGTTTTTTATTCTAAAACCAATTACATTATATTCAACTTCTCTTGGAGAATGTCGAACTTTAAATATAGGTTAAGCTTAAGATTTTGGATATGTTATAATTTAATTATTAACAAAAGCATTCTTAACTTTAGTTAAAAAGGTTTCATCAGTACCAGCTACTGTACAACTATCATCTAATATATTTAATATTCCTAAAGGAGGTCTTTCTAAACATTCTAAAATCTAAAAATTATTAGTATAATTGATTGGAACTTAATTATTAGTTAAACCTTCTAATTGGAATAATTTAGAATCACTTTGAAAAGTCTCAAATAAATAGAATTATTATATTTTTTCATAAGAATAATTAATTAGCAATTACTCAAAGCTATTGAATGCATTTTATTCAAATCCAAAAAAATCAACAATGTTTATTTAATACTTATTTGATTATGTTGTCATCTAACAATTAATTGCATCAATTAGAAATTCAAATAATCTTTCATATAATTATTTTATGATATTTTATTATTGATTTACACATTCTATTCTACTTAATGGAGTATCTACAACTTCATTTTTCAATAATTATCTCTATTTGTAACATAAACATCTTATTAATTCTTTATCTGAAATTCCAAGTAATTAACTAATCTGTTGAATTGATTTTTGATCATTAATTGTACAATTGGTATCATGATCATCAAATTAAATATTACCTAATTTAATAATAGAAGCTAATATTCCTAAAATAACATCAATATTTATATTAAATAATTTGAGAGCATCAATTGTATCCTAAAATTATGATGTTTCCTTTTAAGATTATTACTAGGATGATTTGGAATTCAAATGATTAGGAATCAAAATTTATTGCTAATTTGTATTGATATTAAATAAAGAAAATTATCCATAATTCAAGAATTAATAAAAAATATTAAAATTACTTTCTCCTTAAGGAATATTATAAATACGTGATTTTTCAAGTGAAACTATAGATAATTGAATACTACATAACTTTTAATCTTTATCAAAAAACATTTTTGTTATTCTTCCATAACGAGATGAATTTGAATTTCTCATAGTTTTTGCATTTCCAAAAGCTTCTATAATTTAATTAGAAGCCATTAATTTAGAGTGAATATTACCAAATTTAGAAAGTTATAATTAAATTTATTTACTTATTTCAGATTTACCAGATCCTGATTCTCCAGTCATTATAATTGATTAAGGAATTTCAATCATTTAATGGTAAACATTTAATGAAATTTATTACAATTGTTAAGATTTAATGATTTCTTTATGAACAGGATTAATGCTGATAAAAGATGATCCACAAAAAATTTGAAATTTTTTTTGTTAAAATCTTAGATGTAAAACATTTAGAACTTCAGCTTCATTTAAAATTGATAAATCCAATAAATCTTCAATTTCTTATAAATCATCTTAACTTCTTTAATATACATATTTGGAATCAGCAAAATTACCCTCAGAAGTGCTAATTAAAAATGGAGAAACTTAAAGAATTATTCCAGGTATTAATTTATGGTCATTGAAAATCCAACATGGAGTATCTAGCTTAAATTTTATACTAAATTACTAATCTAGGCCCATTTGAGAGGTTAAGTTTAAAGCATTTATTTGTTATATTTTATTTTTTTAAATAATTATATGAGATAGTTATAAATTTTTAATTAGCGTATAAATGAAGGATAAAGTCAAATTTAAATAAAAAAATTAACATGATATAAGGTTAGAATGTGAAGAATTGATAATTTTGATAAGATTTATGTTCTATATAATATTCAATGACACTTTTCTTTCATCAATTAGTATCTCTATAATTTTAAGGTACTAATATCATAGAAAAAGTAATTGGAAATCATTTACTTTTAGAAAGGTGCCATAAAGATGGAGATTATCTTACTCATCCTCATGAATATTTAGGTGCTTATGATGGAGATGGATTTGATCTAATTTAATCATCTTAGAGGCGCTCTTAAAATAAATTTATACATTGACCTCTATCATTTTTAAACCATCCTTTGATTTTTTGAAAGGTGCTAGCAATGCAATTAATTAGTACTCAACACATTAAAATTATAAATAATGAAATTTACAAGTACTGATAATATAGAAGTGGATAGACAAGACTAATAGAAAATAAATTCTTTTAGCAGATTAAATATGCAATATCATGAACTAATAAGATTAAATTAAGCGTATAGAATGATAAAATTAGTATAGTCGAAAAGAGGAATTATCACGTTTAGCAGATGGTAAAGATGAAATGGAATTAATGGATGATGATGAGAAGATTCCATTTAAATTTGGTGACTCTTTTATTAGAGTAAATGTTGAAAAAGTAATTAGTTTGGATATATATTATAAGGCAAGAACATTGATTGATGAATAAGTAGTGAAAATAAAAAAATAATTTGAAGAAGATACTAAGAAAATAGAAGAGACATTAAAATAGATGAATAATTTGAAAGCAAAGTTATATGCTAAATTTGGTAGTCAAATTAATTTGGATGATGAATGATTATCGAATAAAATATATATATATAAATCAATATATATATATATAAATAAATAATTCAAATGTAAAATAATACTCCTTTTTTAACTAATTCTTCTATAGGAATGAATGGATCCTTATCAGATCTTTAATATCTAGAACCAATAAATTCACTTAAACTATGAGCATATCTAACAGGAGCAGGAATTTTGATTGGACCAGCAAAATTATAATAGAGCCAACATAGTTTGTAAGTAAGAACTTTAATATCATTTTCAATATTAGGTATATCTGAATGTAATATTTTATATAAAGTTGGTTAAGAGGTTCCTTATCTAGTAATTTAAGATATCAAGTAGAAATTAGGTTATTATCCTTCACAAATTTCTTTACTATCTACAATAGTACCAGATGCAGGATTATCAGGTCTATGTCCAGCTTAATAGAATTTACCTGCTACTCTTTTATTACAAATTACTAGAACTAATTTACTTGAAGGATTTGTTTATTTAATTGCTTATTCATATTAAGGATACTCATCTCCTAAAACTACAGGTATTTAACCATCTGATATTCCATCTCTATAAATAACTATTATTTCAGGATATAAATTATTTTTATCTTTGTAAACTTACATAGCTACTATTAAACTCTTTTTTAGATGGTCTCCTTTATAATCACCACCTTTTAATATTTAACTATGATATCTAGTCATATTCTTATCAACAGTTGAACAAAATGCCAAATGTTTAGTTTAATGCAATCTATCATAACATTCAGCTGCACATATCATTGAATGTTATTATTAAAATAAAAGAGGTAATTTATCAATTGCCCATGGAACTCCTCCCAATTTAGCACATATTTATACCATTATTTTATTTACTATCGATCTTGTATTTTTAGTTAATGTCTCTTCTAAAACTACTTAACTTGGACAACCAATCTTTTACATTGATATAAATTTTGCACATCTATATAAACGACTATTCTTTTTCTATCCTGGTAATAAAAATATTATAAATTCAATCTTTTATTATTTTTATTCACATTCTTTATTTATATCATCACATAATTATGTTAATACTTTATCTCTCTCTTCTTAAAGTTATTTAATTATAGGCTAAGAATAAAAACCATAAAATTAATATTCTGAAATCGCTTATTTCATATTTTCTAATAATATCTTTTTAGCTTCCTATCCTTTTTCTTTATAATAATGTATAAGAACCCATACCAATTTCTTCTCTGGCATTTAATACATTTTCTTCTATGTTTATTAATCCAAATTCAAATTTGATGAAGATAAATCAATATTTTCATTACCCATCAATAATGTTCCTGGACGAACTGTTTTGGCTTCAACATTCATCGACACACTACTTAATTACAATCCCCAAATATCTAATAAATTCATATTTGATCCTCTCTTAATTGTAGAATTCATTTATTTAGCAAATTTCTCTGATTTATCTATTCTATCTTATGCATTCGGTTTTGTTATTCTTGATACATCTTTCATTACTTAAAAATTCTAAATTATATAATATTTTATACACTCTTAACAGTTTCACTCAAACCAGTTAATTAACATAATTCTGGTATTAAATATATCACTTTTTCTTCTTATTTTCCTTTTAATTTTAAGCTTGTTTTTATTAATGGTTATTTATCACTTAATTTTATATTATACCTTTATTTATAATATTCTTTAAATGATGTTTCTTATCCGTTTTCTGTAATAAACAAATCTTTAGGAGACATTCCTGTTTCAATTAGATCAACTCGATAAAATTTCTAATTGTATTTTGTCATCACTATCATACCTTCATATCGGTCTACTTCTTTTGTTATTAAAAGATCATCTAATAATGTATTTTATCTCAATATTTTATATGCACAATCTATTACAACTCCAAATTGTTTTTATACTATTTATACTCCTTCCCAAATCTCAAATTTATGAGCATGAAATTAATGACATTTCTTTGGCCAAAACAATTTGTCTTTACCAATTTAAACCATCCCTTATTATGTACTTACTATTTATTTTACAATCCTTGTTAATATTTACTATAGTTTTATTCCTCCTACTATATTCTCTATGAATTTCAATGTTACAATATTTTAAATCTCTTCTCCTTCATTTAATCCTCCTAAAACTTGAGTTGCTATTTTAGTTGGAGAATAAACATTCAAATTTATGCAATAAAATGTTATCAAACTTTCTGTCAGTTTCTATCTATACAAATTAATTGCTTTTTATGCATTAATATCAGAGTAATTTGTCAATTCTATTTTATATCTATAGATTTAACGATCAGGTTATAATTGAAATTGATGAAAATTTGATTTCACCTTCACAGTTTTGAATTATTATTCTTGCTGTTACATATAAAAAATATTTTATTTATTTTAATCTTCATTTCCTCTAGATAATTTAATATTTTATTATGCTTTAATAAATTATATTTTTTATTCTATAATTTTTTAATCAAACAAAAATATATTTTATAAGTCATAAATAGCATAATAGATTGTTGAATTGAAATCTCTATTGAAAATTATGAAATTCTCAGATTATTAAATATCATATAAGCAATAAAATATTATTAAAAAGTAGATCAAAAAAAATAAAATGATTCATCTACTCACAAGGCTTATTAAATATTCATCAAAATTTTTTGTATTTTAGATTGCTTGATCAATCATTTCTTTTAATTGTTATGATTTTTATTGTGCTGATTTTTATTATATTGATTGTCTCATGCTAAAACTTCTAGATTTTGGTAAAGCTGTAGCCTAATCGTTAGATATATCAATTGATTAGAAAAATGTGCTATTACCTTATTATTTTCTATAAGAATACTCCCATTCCCTGTTTACAACCTTATAACAATTATAATAATTACCTATTTACGCCTTGTCTAAGTAGGTGATGTTATTTCTTAGAGTACATCCATCAATTAATTCTTTGAGACTCTTGAAATCTTATTATTACTTCTCATCTTTGAATTAAGATGAAAAGAATTTGTTTTTTTTAGTACCACATCAATAATTGGTTATTCTTTGTTCTCTTTTGCCTAATCACAACTTTAATAAAATGTGCTAAGATTGCTTATTTCTGATTATTAAGACTACATCTTTGCATCTGTTTAACTCAAAGTCAATGATGTATCAACGCTGTCTTTTGTTTGTAATAAATGTTAAACTTTAACAAACAAAGTACGAGGTTGATATCTAATTACTGGAGGTTCTATTTTTTTTAAACAAATGTATTTTGGAGTGCGGAATTCCATCATTCCGTTATTATTATATTTTATTATGAAAACTTTTTTTAAAGAAATAGATTGTAAATCAAACTTATAAATTCTCAAAGATATCAATTCTCTAATATACACTTTAATTTATAATCCTCACTTACATTATAAGCTATAAAAGAACTTAATTTAAATATATAACAATTTTTTAAATTATTATAACAAAGCTGATACTTTAAAATTGTAATTCAATTTTTCCTCTATTCAATTCTTAGATGATTATCTTGAAAATTTACTTGAAAAATACAAAGCCAATTATTGGATCTTTAATTAAAATTGTTTACAAAGCTATCAAACAATATATTTTCTCAATAAATACAACTGTAACTATCTTAAAGAGTTATATTAATTAGAATTGTAGATAAAAAATATTAATAAAGAAACTTATAAAATCTTAAATTAGTTGAAAATAATTTGAAATATATTCAAATTGAAATAAGCTCAATTTAGATATAAATGTTAAATATTGAAATAATAAATAATATATAGAAAATGATAGATCAATTTGAATTGTTATGATTTACAATAGAAGATAAAATTATTTAATTGAACATAAAAGCAAAGTTATGTTTATTGGAAATGTAATCAAAATAAAAAAAAATAAGAAAAATAAATATATATAAATAGAAGAGGAAAATGAAAGAATCATTGAGAAAAATCATGAATTAAGAGAAGAGAAACTTAAAAATAAAACTCAACATTAAAACATAACATTAACTAATTTTTCAAAAGATGTGTTTAATGAGAATATATCAAAGGCTTAAAATTAAGATTTACTAAAGATAATAAAGAACATAGAGGTATTACTAACTCACTTGTTTTTAATTGAATTTTTTAAATCATATATAAATAATGTTTGTATCTCAAAACAAAATCACAGAATAGCTTATTCGAAATTAAGGAGAGGAACCTGCTAAAATAACAAAATTATCTTTACGTTCTATGAAAGTGACTGTAATAAAAATCTTTTACTTAGAAAATAGAAAATTTAGATTAATTGGTACTTCTTTAAGAATTGAACTTAAGTCATAACAATATAACTAAAATAGAAAATTTAAGATTGCCATCACTTAAAGAATTAAATCTTTCGGATAATTTTATAAAATCGATGCATGGATTAGAATTTTTGCCATCTTTAATTAATTTGAATTTGAACGGCAACTAGATATCTGAGATTAACTTAACAAATCATACTATAGAAAGTTTAAAATTATCAAGAAATTAGATCAAGGATCCTATATAATTATTAAACCTAAAACCCCTTTTAAATTTGAAAATACTTTCTATTAGTGATAATCCTTTTTGTAGAACATTTAGTTATATAGAATATTTATGTTTTTTAACTCCTACACTTTAAGTTTTAGATACTAAAGTTATATCAAATTAACATGAAATAGCAAAATAATTATATGGAGAACCAATCCCAAGTGATCATTATTAATTACTTTAAAATATTAGATTGGTTTAGTTAAAAAAATAAGAAATAGATGTTGAAATAGTTTAAATAGAAAATAAAATGTAAAGAGCTACAAATTTACTTTAAACATATTAGAATGATTCTGATAGTGAAGATGAAACAGACAGATAAGTAACTAATAAAGCTTTTCTTTCACTTTAAATATAGCTTGAAGAACATTATTAAGTTCGTTAAGAAACAGATGATGCTTTAAAAGCATTAAAATAATAATTAGAATCCTATAAGTTATAACCTAAAGAAAAATTACCAACTGAGTAATTAAATAGAATAAATTCTCTTTTTGTAAGATTATAAGCAGTACTTTAAATAGATTTAACATCATGTTAAAGAACATTATTTGAAATGGCATTATAGGGAAGCATAGAATAAGTTTTATAAAGTATTGTTGATTTACTTGAAACTATTTTAGATAGAATACCTTTATTACCTTAAGAAAGTATTTTATAAGAGGTGGCTACTTAAATTCATGATCAAATTTAAGAATTATATTAAAGAGTATCAACTAATTCTTTAAATTCAATTGGAATTTAAGATAAACCTATAGAATCTTCTATTGTGCTATTAAAAAAATTATTTAAAAGAGCAGAAAAAAAATTACAAAAAAATAGATGAGTTTTATGTAATTAAGGCTTAATTTATTAAAGATTTTGAAATAGAAACTTAATAATTAGCTGAAAAATGGAAGGATTATGAAAATAAAAAAGCATAATTATTTTTAGAAAAAGAAACAATAAGTAAAGACTTAGAAGAATAATTTGAATAGATTATGGAATAGAAAGAAGAACTTAAAGTGCAACATTAATAAGTTGAAGTTTAATTTGCAAAATCAAATGAAGATTTTAAAATATTTAGAGTTAAATAAAATGAAGCAAGAAAATGTTTAACTGATGAAATAACTAAACTTGGAAGATAACAAGAATAATTAGTATTAATTTGTATAATTATTTAGTCTGAAGAAGTTTAAGAACTGTAAAGTGAAATGGAAAGACTTAAAGATACAAATGCTGAGAAAGAAGAATCAATAAGATTATTAAATGAAGAGATTGAAATGTTGTAATAGAGAATTTAAGATTAATATTAAGTTAGTTTTTAAATTAGAGAAGATCAATAAAGAGCATTAAATAATATAGAATATTTAAATTCATAAAAAGAATTATTAAATAAAGATATAGAAGAATTACAAGTTGAACATTCTAAAAAAGAATAAAATAAAATGGATTTATAAATTAAATATCAAAATGAACATAACAAAATGAAATAATAACTTGAAGAATTAGATATATGCCATTAAAAATTAAAAAGCACTGAATAATTATGTAAAGAGGCTGATAGAGTATTAAAATAATTAAATAATGCTATTGTTGATAAAGAGTAAGATAAGTAAAAATATGATAAAATCATGTAAGAATCAAATTTTGAAAAAGAAAAAATTAAATAAACAAAAAATGAAAATATGTAGATTAAGAAGGAAACACAAAAACTCAGAACAGAATATGATAATTTAGAATATCAACTTTAAGTCAGTTAGGATAATTTATTGAAAGGCAAAAAAAATCTTTAATAAGTTACACAACTCACAATTGAAAAAGAACAGGAATTGTTATAAATTGAAAAATAATTGATTAATATAGAAAAACAAATATAGGATTAGATGAAATAAAAAGATATTTTAGGTCATGATATCGATATCTTGCAAAAAGAATTAAAAAAATTAAATATTGAAAAAGCAAAGTCTTAATAATAATTAGATGATGCAACTATAGATTTGTAAAGTATAAAATAAGAATATTAAATTTAATAATCTAATTTACAATCTTTGAATAAATAAATTGAATAGAAAGTTACAGAATTATCAACTCAAACTCATTATTAGATTCATTAAGGATAAGATTAAATTATAAATTTTTAACTTTAATTGTAAAAATTATAAGAGGGTATAGAAATAAAAGGATAAGAATTTAAATTATTAGTAGATTAAATTGATTAATTGTAATAAAAACGGGATCATTTAATATAAAGTGTATAATAATTGTAATCATCTGTTTTACAAGAAGAATAGAACACAAATTAGAAACCTTATGTAAAAATTAAATAAAAATTAGATTGTACATGATGAGGAATCTTTGCATTCTTAAAGCTATGATAAATTAAAATCAGATTGGTTGAAACCTACAAAAAACTCTGCAATAAAAAGTTAAACTAATTTTGGCTTATTAAGCGATTTTAGTAAGAAATTTTAACCAAGATCTGCAAATTAATCTATGCTAAGAAAATCCCCTTTAGGAAAAGATTAATCAGTTTAGTCTGTTATATAAAATCTAGAGGAATTAAATTAAAATTTAGATAGAATGTATATGGAAAGTCTTGAAAGATTTGAGTCCTGAATATTTATTTTAAAAAACACTTATGATTATTTTATTTAAAATAAATTTTTACTATCATTTATTTATTTTCGAAATTTATTTTTGTCCATTTATTTACATAAACTTAGATTAAGTTTATTAACTAGAATGTTGTTAAAGTTATTTTATTTTTGAGATAGGATTCAAAATCAATTTATTTAGTATTTTCATTTGATGATATTAAATTAGGTGATTTATTCGATGTAATGGGTTTTTTTATAATTATGTTAATGTAAAATCTTATTTAAGTTAAAATTAGAATCCAATCTTTATCAATATTTTATAATTAAAGTTAAATAATTCAAACAATATTATAAATAAATAATTTAAAACAAATTAAATTATTGTCAAAGTTAAAAAGATATTATATAAAATAATGTTAAATGATATATCCTTGCAATAATAAAAATAAAACTTATGTTCAAACAGTTATGATAATGTACTTCCAAAGTTTTATTGCATCAACCATCCATAACAATGAAGTATCATATTATCTAATAGCTTTTTCAATTAGATGGACAAATTTTTCAAATAAATGCTCACTAATTTTGAGTCTTGAATGGATTGCTTGTATATCAGATCTTTTAAAATATTTTCTACCTGATAATAAATATTCAAATTTTTTTAAAACAATTTTATTAACATTTGCATCATTGCTATCAAAAATATTTTTAAGTTCTACATTTGATTTCAATTCATCTGATATCATTGGAATGAATTCACATAATCTCTATTAACCTACAATTTCGCAAGGTAGTTTTTAATTTATAATATAAGGTAGTATTAAATCAAATTCTTCTTCAAAATCTTAGAAAATAACTCTTTGTGGATTCAATTTAGTTAATAAAATCATCATTTTTTCTTTGATACTTTGATATAAATTAATATTAATTGAATGTTAACAATGAAACGATTATAAATCTTCAAGGGTAAAACAATTATTTTATTTATTAAAAGCATAATGTAAAAAATATTTAGTATGTTCTACAAACTAATCATATCCAACTTTATGAATGAAGCTTTTATTGATAAATTAATCTTGTTAACATAATTTGATAAATTCCTAAGAAAAATTATCAAAACCTTATTATTTGTAGACTAAATCTTTAATGCTATCTTAATTGATAACAGCAGCTTTGTAAGAATCGGTTTATTCTAAAATATACCAAATGACCTCTTTTTGAGTATGTTTTGATAAAGAACTAGATAAGTAATATTTAAAAACTGAGTATTAAACAGAAGTTATTTCAAAAGCCCTATGAAAATCTCTCATAGAATCCATAACATAATTAGTAGATTCAGCAGATCCCAAAATAAAACCAAAAATTCTACTAAATTTGATTGCTTATTCTTCCTATTTAGTTCCTTTAAATAAGGGACTTAAAGAAAAATCTTCATAGATTTGACTATACATATTTTTAGCAATGGTTCTAATATTATCTTTAACATTTTAGACAGATCGAGACTATAAAATTATGAAATATAAGTTACCTCTGATACTATGGCTCCTCTGTAGTATTCAACTGTTTAAGCACATTTGAATACTATATCTATACTTATTTTCAATGACATTAAGTATTTAAGATATAAATATTTAAATCTATTGAACATTTGATCAGTTATATCTAAAGTAGAATGCAATTGTTTCAAAGTTTCAAAATGATAAGTAAGTTTATTACCATTTGTTAAATCAATCAATGATCTGATTACTCCTTTCATTTCTCTTGCTTCTCTTAGAATTGATCCAATAAGGTCATCTTCATTCAATATGGTACTTAATTCTTTTGTGTAATCATCTAAACCTTCCATTTTTTCAAATTCACTATGACGTGTTATTCCATTTTTTGGCCTATATAAAACTAAATTAATTACTTTTTATCTTTGAAAGATGATATAATATTTTATATTGATTTACCTTAAGAAAATGGACATTATTGTTACTAAACTGTTTATTATGATTATTAAATTTATTAGGTCTGATGATAATGTGATTTTCTTAAAGGTACTTAATTTGTAATCATGCTCGTGTATTCTTCTCTTTGAGATTTTACACTGCCAGTAGATGATTTTGTATGATTTTTTATTGTGAATAATCTTTAAAAATGTCTACTAGAACCAAGATCAAATTGAGCGGTCTCCTCAATTTATATTGTTTAATTTTTTTTCTTTTTTTATTGCTACGGTGTAAGTGATTTTTATGCACTATTTACTCTTTCTATATCAATGAAATTGGCAGAACCCCCTTTTCTAACTTAGCAAAAGTTATTAGCTTATGGAGAATCTAAAGAAGGTAATTTTTAGAATAAATATTCTTTTCTTGAGGTTTGAATTTCTTTAGCTGAGTTGATAAAATTAGACGAGCTATAATTATGCTATTGCATTTCACCAGAATCTCTACGAATCATTACAATTCAATAATTAATATTTATTATATAATTTGTTAAGAAATAGTAATAACATCACCTGAGAAATAAATTTTTACTAGAACACATCTCTTATTTATTGTAATTATTTTGTTCTGTTCCTAGTCTCCAAAAAATAAGAGTTTCATCCCCTGCAGCTGAACATAGCATAGATTAATCAGGAGATATTCCTAAATGCAAAACTCTTGATTTATGTGCTTATAATTCTTATATTAATTTGGCTTGCTAAATTAAATCCGCATTCCATATACTAATTTAAAATTTAGAAAATCCATGAGATGATATCAATTCTCGATATCTTGGCAAAAATTATAAAGCACATACCTATGATCCTGTTTCTATGCTTTTGAAACAAGTTCCGGTATCTGCATTCCAAAATTTTATATTTTTATCATTTGAACCCCCTCCACTTACTAGTATATTTTCTAACCAAGGACACCATGCCATAGCTTTAACAGCAGCACAATGACCTTCACATGAAACACGTAATGACATTTATCTTCTATCCCAAAGCAATAATTAATTATCATTTGCTCCACTACTTAAAGTACTTCCCGATGAATTCCATTTCAATCCACAAACTTCCTGAGTATGTTTCTAAAATACTCCTACAACATTATTATTTTTTTCTCTCAGATCATGATTGAAAATTACATTATCTCTGCCAGAACTTGACAACAATTCAAAACTACTACTCATTGTTGAGACTCTTTCATTATGATAATATAACTATGTTATTGTTTGTTATGAACAAACATCAACTATCTTTATTGAAGCATCATCAAATCCCACTCCAAGAATATGATCATTTATCCAATGAACTGAGGTCACATTTGAAGTTGCTTGTAAAAGTTATTAAATATGTTCTATTATATTTATAAATTTGCTATACAATTTGAGGCGTTCCATAAATAAACTTTATTTTACAATCCCACAGACAATACATTGTTATTTCCCCATTCTAAAATATTTAGATAAAAATCATCTGCTATCTCTGGAGCATCTAATATTTTCTCTGGAATTGCACTTATTTATCTAACTATTTGTTAAGATGGCATTTTATATTAATTATGCAACTAATCCAAAAAAGATGTTGGAAAATTCTGTTACTATTTACCGTTTCCAAAATTTAACACTTTTTCTTCATTTATGTGATACATTAACTAAATTTGAAAAATGTTGTACATCATTGTAGTTTGATTGTGTATGTGATTGATATAGTAATTTCGATTTACTTTTTGGTATAAATCGGTCCATATATCCGTTAAATTAATAATAATAATATTACAATTATTTCTTTAATAAATTCATTTATTTTTTAAAGTGATAATTGAACTTGCATTTTACTACGATTAACCTTTCATACACTGCAGGTTGGGAAGATTCCTATTTTAATCTCAAATATTTATTTTATTTAAGTTAGACAAATTATTAATAAAAATATTTAATAAATTATAAATATGAGTAATGCAAAGTAATGTTATTTTTCAATTCCAATAGATCTGATGGAGAGAATCCTAAATATATGATGGGGGATGAACCTGTAAGATTTTAAAATTATGTTGGAGGATAGGATGAACAATAAGGTATTTACATATTCAAATCTTAGTCCCATAATAGGATCAAAATTTAGAATACTATAATGAATACTTAAGACTTTATATTGCTAATGTAGTCTTAACAAATCAAGTAAAATTTAAATTTTATTTTAGTTAAAAGAACTTTTGAATGAGAAAAATGAACTAGTCAATAAATTAAATAAATTAGAAGTAATTTTTAATATCATCTTAATTCTAGCGTCGTAATCAAGAGTTAAATTCAAATGTAGAGGAGACAGGGGAAGAGAGAAAAAAAAGATTGAGGAGACCAGCTTAAGAAATTGAAAGACACTTTACTTGTCCGGTCGAAAATTGTCAGAAAAAATACGGGTATTTTAAATAAAATTTACCAACAAATAGAGCTGAAGGATCTCTTAATTAACACATTAAACTTAAACATCCAGAATTAGTAAAAGATAGAGCATTTTATAAATCAAATGAATAATCATAGTAATAAGGAGAGCCAGAATCATTATCAGATCTAAAATAGGAATAAAATTAATGACAAATAATTAAATAAATATAATTTATTTTTTATTCTTTTTGTTTTCTAAATCTTTTTTTGTGATATAATAAATTTATCTAATAATTTTTAAACTCAAAATTATTTTGATAAAATAATATAATGACATATATAGATAATGAATAAATTAACATATATAAATTAGTTCAAATTTAATTACCATCATAAATGAATATTTTGTAATCATCTTTAATTTAACTATTATAACTAGGTACTATCCTAAATCAAATTGGTGTGATTATAGATGGTAAAGGTATTTTATAAGTTAGATATAGACGATATATTAAAAAAAGGAAAATGGAACCAACAGATGGTCATTTATATGGGTATCAATCTTTCTTCAATTTATTATAATGGAGTTAAAAATTAAAAATTAAAGAAATTAGTGTATTTGCCTTAGCATTAAAAATTATAATCGATAAAAAGATGAAGCTTACTTTTTTATGCAATTAATGAAAAAAAAAATGGATTATTTGCAAAAAGATCTGAATTTTATTAATATAATCCAAGTTAAAATTAAATGTTGGGGAAAACTTGATTTTTACAAGATTAAGAATTAAAGTTTAAAAGTATTAGAATTTTTTATCAAAGATTCTTAATATAAGTAATTTTTCTCAAAATTAACATTTAAACTAAACATTTATTTCTCTTACAATCTCACAAATGAATTAAACAATGCCTAAAGGATTAACTAAAAAAGAGTTTTTTTAGATAATTCTCTAGGCTTATTTAATTGTGTAGTTAGCATGAATACTTTTGATTCATTTTTTTTTCAAATTTATTAAATAGTTAAATTTTATTTATTTTAAATAAACTGTACCTAATTCACCTGATCTTCTTCTAAGAACCTTTGGTGAAACTAGACTAAGCAATTTTTTACTAGATTAGATCAGAGAGAATAGAATAATTCATTTTATAGATTTAAACATTTATAATATTTATAAATATAGTAATAACAGTCATTAATTAATTATGCAACTGTTATAAAAGCTCTAATATTTTTATCTCAAAACTACTCTATTCTAAGTTCTATTTATTTAAAAATACGGAGTGACTTTATAATCATTCCTTTGTTTAGCTTAAATGTCATTATTTTAGTTTGAATCCAATTAATCCAATTTATAATGCAATCCAATCCGATAAGTAGAATTTCAATATGAAAGTGACTTGAATAAGGATTACATATTTCTAAGCCCATATATTTCAGAAATATCATAAGATTTTTAATAACATATTTCTTGATAGTTCAATTTAAGAATTGAAAAATTAATTTCATAATGCTCTTATTTCTTAAAATTTGAGATCAATTTATTTTAAATCAAAATCTATATGATAAATATAATGTAATTTTTATCTAAAAATATATTGCAATTGTGATTTTATCTTAAAATATTTATTTCTTTTTGGCTATTCTATTTGAGAAATTTTAAACAGGTTTCTTAGATTCATCCTATCTAGATTACAAATTGTGATTTTTTATTTAAATCCTCTAAAAGTATTAGGATTAATATAATATTAATAAGTGAGTTGTTGTCTTATTTTACACTCCTTAAAATAATAGATATAATAATATTTTATTTTTTATTTATTCTTTTGCAATTTATAATATAATATTTTATTATTATTATATTTCTTATATTTGACTAATATTTTCAAAATATCTGACATAAACCATCAAGAGGTTAGCCATTTTTCCACTTAATGTTATCTTCCACTAATGTATGGTCATCATCATCGATATTTTACTTTTTTATGATTTTACCTTTTCCATGCTTTTGGTCTCTTTCAAATTGACCTTCATAACTTAAATAATAATATTTGATACTATTAGTCTTAAATTATATACTCCAATCCCCATCCTTATTTCATATCATTTACAAAATCTCCTTTATATATTTTCTTACCCTTATAAATAATTAAACCTTCTCCTTCAAGTTTTCCATTCTTCCATATTCCACTTTTCACAGTTTCATTATCAGTTAATGTTCCTTATCCAGAATATTAAAAACTATTATTGATCTAACCCTCATATTTCTTCTTTTAAGAATAAATTATTTTGATTTTAAAATTTTAATCTACTTCATTTTGTTAGTTTATGCTAAGATCCTTGAATTCTATTTTCTTTTAATTTTATTCGTTTTAATTAATTACCAAAGTCCATCTTTAATCAGATTATTCTTTAAGTTCCCATGAATTATTCTCTTCTATATACTCTTAGTCTCCATTTTCATATGTTTTTTTTATATAATTAAACTTATTTTAACTTTGAGGAAAGAATTATAATAAATCTAGGTTAAAAAGAGATTTATTTTAATTTTTCTAAATGGTACATCCTATTTAATGTTCTAAATTGCCTATATTAACGTTAATTCTATTTTCTCCAAAATTTTCCACTATTTAAGCTTCTCCTTAAAGCTATTTTTATTAAAATTAATTACATGTCCTTCTTGATTCAAATGTGCACCCAAGATTTAAGTTACATTAGGGTATTTTTAAATTAAATTATTTTGCATTTAATTCAAATCATATAACATTTTAATTGGAATAAATTTAACCATAAAACTACTTTCGATTTTCTCCAAGCTAATTTTAATGTCATATTATCCAAGATGGCAAATTTAACTTGCTGTTTCTCTTAATTCCTCAAAAAAATTTTTATGCTTTTAATTTGCTATATTTAGTTATTTTAAATTTATAAAATCTTTTCGTAACATCAGTTGAATTTCTTCATCTCTTCCTATACATTCCTGTCTCACTTTTTTTACATTTTCTAAAATTTTTTCAATCCAATTCTAATATTTTTAAAATCTTTTTAACATATTCTTTTTTTATTCTTCTAAAACTTTATTAATTTCCTTTGATTATGTTTCTAATTCCTTTGTTTACAATTTCTCCTCTAGATTTTTCAATTCATCTTAGTATTCCTTTGACATTCTTTCAACATCATTCTAACCCAAAAATTAATATTTTTTATGATAATCTTATTCAAATTTTAATAATAGATTATTTGTATCAAAATTTAAAAAAATGTCTTCAAGCTCTGGAATTTCGTACAACTATTATCCTAATAGAGGTTCTGAAAATAAATGATCTTCCAATTTAAAAATCTCATCAAAAAGTTCATTCTTTATTTCTGATAAGGCTTTAACCTTTTAAGGTATTGATTATTTTCTTAACTCTTATATTTCAACTTTTTATTTGTCTATTTTTTTTTATTATTCTTCAAGATTTAAATTCTTTAATTATTCAAGATTTAAATTCTTTAATTATTCGATAAACATATCTATTTGTTTAATTGCAAATCCAAACTGATCACAAATTTTTTCCAAACCTTTAGTAACTATTTATTAAAATTTCTCGACTATTTGTTTGATTTTATCATCTTTATATTTTTTTAATTATCCTTTTAATTCTTCAAGTTTGGAAATAAATTTATTATGATGTTCCTAATACTCTTATTCTTTCTTCTATTTTTTTTCTTTCAATCTATAACATTTTTTGCACAAAAATCCACATTCATTCGTCATATAATCAAAACACACTATCTCATACATATAATCTTTATGTGTTTGACAAAAATGAGCAGGTTATTCTTAATTTTCTGCCATGTTTTATTAATTTTATATACTTATTTATTATAAAATATCTAATTCAACATTGGAAATATAGTTCAAAAGTCTATTTGGTTAAATATATTAATTTGGTAATGAAATTTAAAAATTAAAGAAGAGGTGTCTAATAGATAATGATATTTGATTTGTGTTAAAAATAAATATAATAATTATTTTGAAGATGACAATTCAAATTTTGTTACTTTTAATAAATTTTGTTTAAGGAGTTGATAACTTTTATGAATGTTAAATATCGACAACTGGTTAAATAAATTAGAAAGGAGATTATTAATTTAAAATTATAAGATCAGGAGATCCTATTAATCATCCAATAAATTTATTTAGAACTTATTTCATTTAAATTGATTTTCCTTGGAACATCAACAATGATTACACTTGTTATGATGAATCAAGTAGTTTAGTAGTTTGTAATTACGTTGCAAACACCAGAGTAATAGTGAACAATTATTTTGTCAAAGACTATTCAAGTTTAGATTATATAGATTCAGAGGGATTCACATTTTTGATTGATTTGAAATCAATTTTAAACCCAAGTTATAGTGGGACATATGATAATCCAATTTAAATATCAATAATGAGTTCTACAAATGGAATATTAGAATAATGTCCAAATGGAGGAGTTCATCCAATAGTGAGTCCAGGAACAGGAACATGTTCAGGAGATGGACAATAATCTAAAGTAAATAGTATAAACACTGATATTTCTTTAAATATGTTTGTAAAAAATTCTTTGGCTGTAGAAGTATTTTTTTTTTAGTAAAATAGAGTTATTTGATTGTAAAATATACTCGTTTTTGGTCTAATGATAAAATCACAAAAGAAATGATTCCAGGAGCCATTAGTTGTTAAGTCTATGCTAATTAAATCTTTATTTCAGGTACAACTTGTACAAAGGATTCTACAAATTTATAAATAAAATCAAATCTTGGAACTGGTTATAGTGGAACCAATGTATAATATGTATGATATTAGATTACTCTAGTGATTAATGGAGTCAATTCACCATCATCAACAACTCCTGATGGAAGTTTTATTTTACAAACATATAATTCAAATAATAAATTAATAGATGAATGCTCCATTTCATCTATTAGTGGATGGACGCCTAATGTAGTAATACTTAGTAGTATGACATGGACAAATCTAGTAAATTAAGTAGAAAGGCTAAATGTCTAATTTCAATTAAATACTTAAATATTAGTAGGAGATACAATTTAAATTACTATACCTAAAGAATTGAAGATAAGTTCCACAATTTTAACTCAAATAAGAGATACTAAAAGTACTTTCTTTAATACTCCTTTATAATCATCAGCATTTACAATTAATGATTAATTGGTGACTATAACATCAAGTAAGGCATTTTCATCTACTCTTACAAATATTTTATTGACTTTTTTTAATGTAGCTGCTCCTCCTTCGATTAAACCATCTTCAACCATCTAGATTAGTACATATAGAGGTTCTTATGTTATTGACAAAAGTACAGCAAGTCTAACTATTACTGCCTCTAATGGTGCAATTAGATCAGTTTCTATTGTTGCTTTAAATAAAATAATCAATTAATTATCAGATTATGAATTTGACATTGGATTAACAAATCCAATTTTATCAGATGGATATTTAAAAATATAATTTCCAACACAATTTGATTTAACCTAAATAACTAAAATACAAAACTATTTAATGAACACTTAATCTTATGATGCCAAGTATAGTGTTTCTGGTCAAAGTTTGATATTAACATCATTATATTCATCTGATATTAGTGCATCTGCTTAAATCAAATTTTAAATATCTTAAATAAAAAATTAATTTAGTGCTAATATTAGTAATACATTCACTATACAATCATACTATTCTAAAAATACTGAAGATTTTTTAGTAGATTAACATACAACATATTAAATGAGTTCATTCACATCTGGCACTTTGGATACTAGTTCTATTTCAGTAAAAGCTGAGTTTTATATTACAGGATAGATTGATAATTATGAAATAAGTTTAGTAAATAAGAATGCAATTACATCACTTGGATATTTTATAGTTAGCTTTATATCTGAATTTTCTATGAGTGGAAATCCTACTAGTTGTTTAGTGAATGAGATCAGTAGTTCTTGTTCAACTACTGCTAAAAATACAATTAAAATTGTAACATCAAGTAGTATTAGTAGTAGCACTAATATTAAATTAAAAATAAATTCTTATATTTATAATCCTGTTACCCTATAATCATTAAATAACATTTTGGAAATAAAAACATATGATGATTAAGGTTTATTAATAGATAGTGGATAAGGTGGTACTATTTAAATGTTGTCACTTTCCACATTTTCATTAACTCTCTCTTAAAGGGCCTCTTAGATGAATGGTGTAAAAAATACTTATACTTTCAACATCAATTTTGAAGTCACTTAGATTAATGGAGTATATTTAATAATAGAAATTCCAAATGATTTATCTGATGATTTGTAATCTTGTTAATCTATTTCTCCTTTGTCATCTACTCTACCTTGTTCAATTTCAAATTAAAAATTATAGATTTAATTAGTTTGCAATACTTGTACTTCTGTAACCAAAAATATAGATTATAAAATCACAATTAATCAAATAATTAATCATTTCTCTTTTAAACCAGTTACTATTTCTATAGCTTATACTATATAAGATTTATCAAATGATTTAACCAAATAGAGTTAATTAAAAGACTAATTAATTATTACTAATACATAAACTAATACGATTAAATCATTTACTTAATCATATGAATATGGTTATCTAAATTAATTAGACAATTACTTATTTAATATTGAAGTTAATAATCAATTAAGAGGTAATTTCAAAATCGTACTAAATGTTCCAGCAGCTATTAAAGTTTATCAATCAACAGATTCAACTCCCACTAGTATATCTAATATATAGTTTTTACCTAACGATGCTTCAATCATTTTTAATTCTTAGAGCATCATTATAACAGGTTATTCTGGATCATAAATATCATCATTTTCTTTTAAAGTAATTAATTTGTTAAATCCGAGTACTTCATCAATTAGTACATATTTTACAATTAATACATATTATATTTAAAGTACTGATGAATATTAAATGGATGCTAGTCAACTTGGTACATACAATCATAAATGTACTTTACCTTGTAAAGATTGTGATTCAGTGATATTAACTAAATGTTCTAGTTGTTATGATAACAGCAGAAGCAATTTAGTTTAATCAAAAATATATTTCATGAGCATCTAAAATACATGTATAATAGATTGTTATAGTATTGATGGTTATTTTGTTACAAGTGGAGAATATACATGTTAAAAATGTAATCCAGAATGTAAAAAATGTAAAGATTTAAACTCATATTGTTTGGAATGTAGTTTATCTTATAAATTCTTAAATAATAAATGTTTAGAATCTTGCCCAAAGACCTACTTTAATAATTAACAAGTTTGTACAAATTGTATAAATAATTGTGACACTTGTTCCAATACAACTGATTGTTAAGTTTGTAGTGTGAATTTTTATCTGTATTAATAATAATGTATTGAAGTTTGTCCTGCTAATATTACAATTGCAAACTTATAATAATAAACATGTGATGTCTGTACAAATAATTGTCAAACTTGTCAAAATCAAACCTCATATTGTATAACATGTAAAACTAATTACTATTTATCTAATAATACTTGTATATCTTTATGTAAAGATGGCACCTATCCAAATGGTTCTTAATGTACAGATTGTCTCAAAAAATGTAAAACATGTAGTAATGGAACTAATTGTGATACTTGTGCCAACAATCTTTTATTTCATTAAAATGATTGTCTTGATAAATGTCCAGATTAATATTTTGCAAATAGTGGAAAATGTTCATAATGCAATATTTAATGTAATACATGTGAAAATAATTAATATCGATGCACTAGTTGTTTAAATAATAGTTTCTTGTATAATAATCAATGTTTAGGATAATGTCCAGAAGAATATTATAATGATATTGACACAAATAAATGTATATAATGTAAAAGTCCTTGTAAAACTTGTAAATCAAGTACATCTTGTTTAAGTTGTATAACTTAGACACCTGTATTATATTATTATAACAATTCATGTCATACAGATTGTCTTTAATATTATGCTCCTGAAAAGGGTTAATGTGTTTAATGTAGAAATCCTTGTAAATAATGTACAACAACACCTGATATATGTAATGAATGTTATCCAAATACTTATTTATTAAATTAAATGTGTGTCACTGATTGTGGAGAAGGATACTATAAAGATAGTTAAAATTATTAATGCTAATTTTGTTCAGATCCATGCAAAAGTTGTTCTAATAAAAATAATAATTGTCTTTCTTGCAAAGATAATTTGTATTTATTCAAAAATACATGTGTTGAAAATTGCTAAAATGGTTACTACTAATAAGATCAATAATGTCAACCCTGTTTAAATGTTTGTTTGAGTTGTTTAGATAATGTTAGTTGTACATAATGCAAGGAGAATCTAATATTATATAATAATCAATGTTTAACATCTTGTCCATAGAATTTATTTGAAGAGAACAACAGTTGTGTAGGATGTAGATCACCTTGTTTATAATGTGGATAATCTCCTAATGATTGTTTATCTTGTGTTTCTACAACATTTTTAAATGGGTAATCAGAATGTGTAAAAGAATGTGAAGAGGGATATTATGGAGATCAGATTTCAAATAAATGTCTATAATGTGTAATCCCTTGTAAAAAATGTTCGTCAAGTACCTCTTGTTTAAGTTGTATAGATTAGATACCAATTTTATTTTATTACAACAACTCATGCAATACAATATGTCCAAAAAATTAAGTTCCAGAAAATGGAGTATGTGTTGATTGTAGATAACCTTGTAAAACTTGTAATACAACTCCTGATGATTGTATATCATGTTTAAATGATTCATATCTTCATGGTAATAAGTGTTTGAGTGTTTGTGATGATGGTTATTATGCAGACAATACCATAAATGAATGTAAATAATGTATATCCCCTTGTTAAAAGTGTCTAAGTCTTACAACTTGTATTACATGTCTATAAAATTAAATTAATAAAATTTTGGTAGATGGCACTTGTATATCCTCTTGTCCAACTGGTTATTATGAATCTAAAGGCACATGTTTATTATGCACTATTGATTCCAAAGATAAGGTTTGCAATTCAACTGTTTAAGTTCTTGAAAGTATTTAAACTGAAAAATTCATTCCTATGCCTTGCACTATCCTTACATTAGTATTTACTACTACTGTTATTGTTGCAAAAATTACTAAACCTGAAACTTTTATTCCTGGTGCTGTAACATCTATTGGAGGTTTATTTGAATGGGGTAGTCATTGTGTCTTATTATATTTAAGCTATTCTTAATGGGGATTATTTAATACTAAAAACTATATTATTATGGGAGCTTTGGCTTTTAATTATTTATTTAATTTTATTCATTTGATATCTGCAAGATTTACTATCTATAATGATGCTTATTTTTAATAATGGTTAAGTAGTAGATAAGTTAATAAAATTACTTATGCTATGTTATCTTTCATTGGGTTCATCACTACCTTTAAAATTAATAAATTATATTTCTCTAGATACTTTGGTTTTTATTTCTTTAAGGCTTGTATTGTTGACATTAATAAATTTCTCTTTTTCAATATCATCTCTTTATTAAGCATTTTTTTAACTACTTTACCAATGATTGTTGCTTCAGCAATCATTTTAAACGAGTATGATTAGAAAGATTAATTGTATATTTCTACTATTGATTCTATTATTGTTACTTTCATTATTTTTATTTCCATTATTTGGGAATCTTAAAAAAATGAAGATTATTTTAAAGAAAATGGACTTTAAGCTTTAAATTATGTTGTAGCATAATCTTTTATTGCTGGATAATCTGAATAATAACCTGTAGATTAATCTGTAGAATAAGAAGAAGTTAATTTAAATGAAGAAATTCAAAAATAATAAATAGAATAATTTTAAAAAATTCATTCTACTAATAATTAAAAAAAATCATTTTTACTTAAAAATAATTCTGATATTATCAATCCAGGAAAAAAACATACTGTTGTTCCAGAAGATGGACCATTTTTTAGAACTTAAAATAGTGATTCATACACTAGTCAACAAAAAAAAGAATTTGATTAATTTATTCATAACAAAAATACTAAAAAAAATCCAGATGATTAATCACTTAATTTATCTTCAATTTAAGAATAACCATAACATCCACTTAATGAAACTTCATAAGATAAAGATTTTTTCAATGATTACAAAGTATTATAATTTCAAAATCCTGAAGAACTTCAACAAAAATTTATGTAAACTGAATCTTAATAAGATTTTGATCTTTCTTCAGAATTAGAAGGTAATAATTTTAATTTTTAAACAAATCAATTAAATACTCCATAAAATATTACTGCAAAAGGTACTAAATTCAAAAAAAGAAATAAAACTATTGAAATCGTAGTAGATGAAATGAATTATGATAAAAATGATTCAAATTAAATCTAAAATAGTCCTGATTAAAAAAAATAATAAGAAAATAATGAAGAAGAATTCCTCAAATAAAAATTAGAAGAAGAAAGACTCAAAATTATCAAAGAAGAAGAATTGAAGTTAGAATAATTAAAAGAAGAATAAAGATTAAAAGAAGAATTATATCAAGAACAATTATTATAAATATAATTAGAAAAATAGAGAATTGAGAATGAAAAAAAATAAATAGAAGAAGCTGAAAGAATTAAGGCTGAAAAAATAATTAAAGAAACTTAAAGAAGGGAAAAAGAAATCTTATTGGAAAATGAAGAAAAATAGAAATTGTGGGCATCTTAATTAGAAGAAGAATAAAGATAGAGAGTAATTTAAGAACAAAGAGAATTTGAATTAAAATAAGAATTAGAAAAAGAGAAATTAGAAAAAATTAAATTTTAATAATAATTACAGGAAAAACTAATAAGAGAGTAAGAATTGGAAAAATTAGAAATAGAAAAAAAAAAAAAAGCTGAAATGGAAAGATTGGAATTATAAAAATTAGAGGAAATTAGATTAGAGGAATTAAAAATTTATAAATAAAAAGAATTAGAATTACAAAAACAACTTTAAGAATAAATTAAAAAAGAAAAAGAAGAATATGAATTAAGAAAAATATAAGAGGAAGAAACTTTAAAATTATAAGGAGAATTATTAAAAAGATAACAATAAGAAGAATTAAGATTAAAATAAGAAGAAGAAATAAGACAATAGCAAGTATTATAATTAAAATTACAAAAAGAAGAAGAATTAAGGAAATAGTAAGAAGAAGAGGAAAATCAAAAGTAACTTAAATTATTATAAGAAGAAGAATAAAAGTAACTTAGATTATTATTAGAAGAAGAAGAATAAAAAAAACTTAAATTATTTTAAGAAGAAGAATAAAAAAGGTTAAAATTATTATAAGAAGAAGAAGAATTATAGAGACTTAAATTATTAGAATAAGAAGAATAAAAAATATTTAATTCTTCTGCTTAGAGAAATTAATCACTCTAATTCATAGATTTTGATAATGATCAAGATTAAATTTCTTAAGATAAAGAAGCTAACAAAAATAAGAAACAAATTTTCTTATAATTAGATGATCTTGATGATTAATTTGTACCTCAAAAGAAATCGAAATTTGATAGCGCTTCTATAGAATTGGCTGAGGAAAAAATTATACAAGAAAATGATTAAAGTGGTTGTCAAAATACTGATTATTTAAGATAATTTGATATAAATGATCCAAAAGATATATTTTAACCTAGAATTTCATCTAAAAGTATAAGTGTTAATCATACTCATAATAATCCTTAATAAATTAATAAGACCATACAAGATTATCCTAATTCTAGGCATTTTTCAGGAGTTAATCAGCATTAATTTATTCCTAAAAAGAAAAATTCAAATGTCCCTATTACAAACTATCAAAAATAAGAAATTCCAAAAAGATCCTCAAAATCTTCTAATCCTCATAATACTCTTAATTAACAGAGTTAAAATAAAGTTTTAGGAACTCCTACAAACTATTAGCAAAATAACATTAATTTTATTGGAAATGCTTACAATACTTTTGCACCTAAAACAGTTATAAATAAAGAAAAAGATGATAGATATTTAAGATAGAAAGAAGAAATATATCTATAGCATATTCCAAATTATTATGAGAAATAAGTCTTAGAGGATTTAAAAAAGAAAAAATAATATTAATAATAAAAAAAGAATGCAAGATCCAGTTAACATAAGTAATTTGAAGTAGCTGATGATCTCCATTTGGATTTCTGAATAATTAATTTTGACATTATACATAGAAATTTAATTTTCTTTATTATTTGTATTGTTTATAAATTCTTTGAAAAATTACTTATCCTCGTCTTAAGATTTTTAGAAAACAATCTCTACTGTATATTTGGTAAGAATAAGCTAAGATTTTTTAAAAATTTTGTTTGAGTAAAAAAATGAATAAAACTTCTTAATTTTTTATTAGATTTTATATGAATATCTATAATAATTTTTCAATCACTTTCGATTGTAAACATTCTCAAGGTACCTAATGCAACACCTCCTAAAAATTAATAGAATTCTTCCTAAAAAAATGAAAAAGATAATTTTACTTCTGTTTTGAATGAATCCTCTTGTTATAAGTGTCTTCTATAATTTCTGATTGGTCTGAGAACATTTCTTTCAAGCTTTCTATTGAATGGCGGAACAAATAAATATCCAACAGTCACAGCTCCTGCTGTTCCTAATGCTATCTTAGCCAATACCATTTTATTTATTAAAATATATAAATAATAATTAAATATTTTCATTTTTCTTCTATTTTAGCCATAATACTTAAAACCTACTCAATTAATTTTTAAAATTCATTTTCAGAAACCTTGCCATCTTAATTTTCATCTAATTCTTTTAATATTTCATCCATTTCTTCTGATGATGGCCTTTCAATTTTTAATATATCAGCACAATTATTTAGAATTGAAATTAGTTCTCTAAAATTTTTATATAACTTTTAACTTTCTTTCTAAAAAGCCACTATCATCCTCATCTAAAGCATTAAAAGCAACTTTAGTAATTTTTTTAACTTTTTAAGCGTTGTTTAAAATTTCTCTAAAACTCATTAAATATAATTAATTAATTATTTATGGTCAAAGCTTATTTTGGATATAAATTTGAGACTCTTTTTGGTAATATTAGCAATAATGGAGGAGTAATAATTAATGATATAGCATATACAATAGTGGATTAATATTTACTTTTGTTAAATATTAAGACACAAGAGATTATTTAATAAATTGTAATAGAAGGTAAAAATATAAAAATGACAAAAATTGCTATAAAAGATAATACTTTAGCAATGGGATATCATGATGGTGAAATAATAATATATAATATGGTTGATAAAGAAGTTTAATGCAGATTTTTTAACCATTAAAGTGAAATAACTTAATTATTATTTTTAAGTGAGACTATTTTAATAAGTGGAAGTTGTGATACTTCTATAATAGTATGGGATTTAGCTGATTAATCATTATAATTTAGATTGATTGGACATTCAAATTAAATTACTGCTTTAGAATTAATTACTCTTGAAGATCAAAGCTTAGCATTTACTTAATAATTTATAGTTTCAGGTAGTAAAGATGGATTAGTAAAAATATGGGATTTAAACCTTGAATGTTCTGTGGCTACATTATCAAGTATGCATAGTGAAGTCACATGTTTATGTGTTTTTGAAAATTATTTAATCATTTGTACTAATTCTGATGAAGTTCTTATTAAATAATGTTAATTAAATTCAGGAAAATGTTAAATTGAAGATGATGGTATTATTAAGAGGTAATCTTTTATTAGAGCACTTTAATGTTAATATATTTAATAGAAATTAATGATTTTAAGTAAAAATATTATATATTTTAGATAATGAAAAGAAAATCGAAGTTTATAAATCAAAATAAGGAAAAAAACTTTAAAAAGCTGAAAGTCTTAGTCAATCTTTAATTTATAGTACAGTCATTTCATAATTAAACAAAATAGTTTATTTTTAAGCTATTGTGTATAAAAACCTATTAAAAATAGTTATTTTCACATCCGATAATTAAATTGTGATAAAGGAATTATCTAATGATAATATTGATGAAAATAATAATATAGTCATTCAATAAATTAGTGGTCAAATTAAATAAATAAAATTAACATAAAATGATAATAAACTAATAGTAATAGCATCAAACAAATGTTATTAATTTGATAATGAAACTGCTTAATAACTTAATAGTATATCAAATACAAATAATTATACTTCTCTATGTATTTTACCAAAAAATAAGTACTTTATGGTTGGAGATGAAAAAGGAACTTTATATTTAATTGATATGAATTAAAATGAAGTTATTTTTGAATAAAAAATACATAATTCAAATATTAATAGTATTGAATGTCATGAGAATTGCAAAGCATTTAATGGTTTAGTAATAATGACAACAGAGATAGATAAGAAAGTAAATTTTGTAGAGTTATTTTTTAATAAAACATAAAAATGTTTAGAATTTTAAGTAGTTAATACAATATATTTGAAAGAAAATATAAGAAGTGCTTAATTTTCATATGATGGTAATTACTATGCATTTGCTTAAATGAATAATATAGTATCAATATATTATTGTGATTCTCATAAATTGTATTTAGAATTATATGGACATTCATTACCTGTTTTAACTTTTGCATATACTTCAGATGATACAATAGTAATATCAGCTGGTGCAGACAAAAGTATTAAATTATGGGCAACAGATTTTGGAAATTGTAAGAAAACAATTAAAGCACATACAGCAGAAGTTATTTAAATTAAAACTGTTAATGACACACATTATTTTTTTAGTGGATGCAAAGATAATATTATTAAATATTGGGATGGAGATACATATTAATTAATATTATAATTTAATGAAGCATTAACTGGAATATAATCATTAGTTATTGGATGTATTGGAGATTTGTTTTATTCAGCTACTAAAAATGGAGTCATCAGAAAATATGTTTAAACTAAGGAATAAATTTTTGTTTCTGAAGAGGAAGAAAAGAGATTACAAGAATCCCTAATGTAAGAATTATAAAATAAAAATAAATAATCAACTGGATTTGATTAAGGTTAAGATTAAGTGAAAAAAGATTTAACTCTTGTCTAAATTGGATAATAAAAATTATTGGAAACTGAATAATTAATGGATATATTAGAAAAAATTAAATAGTATCGAGAAACTATTGAATTAGGTGAAATTCCAAATGAAGATCTATTTTACAATAAGAATGTTACAGAGTATTTATTTGATAATCTCTAAAATTCAGACTTGAGTTCTCTAATGAAATTTTTACATCATCAACATTTAGTTACTTTAATAAATGAAATGAATTAAGATATTGCTTTAAAATAATATCCAATTATCATAAATAAGTTAATAACTTATATTTTTAATAAGATTGATGGATTTGGATTTAATTCACATGAAATAATGATGAAAGTTCTTAACATAAGAACTTAATTACAAATATATTTTAAAAAGGAGAAGAAAATAGCTGGATTCAACCTTGACATTCTTAATTTAATGATCTAAGATATAAGTAAAAACTAGGATGATTTTATTTTTGAATGATTAATTTATATGTTTATAAATTAGTGATGTGGATAATTTTAAATAATATAAATTGTTATTATTCTAAAATAAAATAAATATTTTATCAATAATGTATTTGATTATTCTGATCTGTACTGATTAAAACATATTGATAAACTTATTTAAGATTATTAAGTAGATTTTATTAATTGCTTAATTGATTTTGATGTACAAATTTGATGAGAATCAACTTAAAAGGCCTATTAGTTAATATTATGAAACTTACTTCTTCTATATTATATTCCTCTACTATAAGCATATACAAATTTATTTATTACCAGTTTTGAAAAAAAGTCATTTTTTGGATCCAAAAAATTGCTGATTATAATAAATAATCTCTCTAGGCAGAATTACGCTTTTCTTCTATCTTGTTTTTTTACCTTTTTATTAGGTTTTATTTTAAATTTAAAAAAGTTTTTTTCCTTTTTAAAGATGACTTGCTCATAGTTAAGCTTAAGATTTTGACTATATAATTTAAAGTAATAAGATATTTAAAATTATTTTTTAACTATTCAAGTTCAGCTATTCTATTATAATTTAGCATACAATACATTACCTTTAATTAGGAATGTAAAAATTTTAGTAATTATTGGATTAGATTGTAATATTTTATTAAATAATTTTAGATGTTGTTTAATAAAAATTACAAAATACATATTTTTAGTATTTTTTTTGATAGATTTAAGTTTTGGATAACATTTTTTTGGGAAAGGAGCGATGATTCCAATAATTTTATAAGTTTTATAATGTTATAGAATTAGTGTTAATTGCTTCTTCATATTAAAAATTTAACAATTAAATTAGAATAATTTATACATATAATTTTGCTAATTGGATTAATCTAAATAATATTTTTCTTGTTTGGTGGTTTAAAAATCCTTGTATGATCATTTGAAAAATAATTTGCTTTTGGGAAGAGTTAGAATTTATTATATTTAATAAGTTATCCATTATAAGGAAGCTTGCTTAATTAATATTCTTTTATATAGTAGATTAGATAGAATGATGATTATAATGTAAAATTGTTATGAATAATTATCAATATTATAAATATAAAAATGAAGTCTCGTTATATTTAGATTGATAAATATATGATAGACACTTAAAAGTAATTAGGAAAAGGAAATTGTGGAACAGTTTACTTGGGATTTTATGCGAAAGGAACTGGAGATGAAAAAATCTTTTTGGCTATAAAGGAAATCCCTGTAAAAGCTTCCCCTGAAGTAACAGTATCCCTTTTACAAGAAATAAATGTGTTAAGAAAAATAAATCATTAAAATATCGTTGGTTTTATAGATGCAAAAAAGAATGAAGAATTTATGTATTTGGTTACAGAATATTGTAATTAAGGAGCTTTGGATGATTTTATATTAAATCACAATTTATCAGAAGAAGATGTTGTTGTGTTCTTTAGATAAATTGCAGCAGCATTCAAATATTTAGTTACGAAAAAGATTATTCATAGAGATATTAAACCATAAAATTTATTATTACATAATGGGTAAGTGAAAGTTGCAGATTTTGGATTAGCTAAAGTCATGGATCAATCAAATTAAAGTGGTAAATTTCAAACTTTTAGTGGAACTCCAGTTTTTATGTCTCCTTAAATAATTAAATAAGAATCTTATAATAGTTTAAGTGATATGTGGTCTTTAGGAGTTACTTTCTATTTTATGTTATTTAGAGAATATCCTTGGGAAGAGGTCAATCCATTAAAGTTGTTAAAGAAAATCTAACATAAAAGTATACATTTTATTTAAAATTTAGTTGATAATCTAATACCTGAAGGATGTACATTATCAGAACCAACTAAAGATCTTTTAAAAAGAATGCTTGTTATTGAAGAAAATAATAGAATTTCATGGCAAGATTTCTTTAATCATAAAGCTATAAAAATTGAATAAGATCCTTAATTTACATTATCAACTTAAGACACAGTTGAAGATTTAACTTTAAACAATTTCTTAATTTAAAGTGCAAGTCTTAGTTTATCAGACAAAGAACAAGATGAAATGTAAGAATATGGAAGAAGATAAACATTGTAAATCTAATTTTTAATATTAGAAATTATTTAGCTCATTAAAATATTTTAAATAGAGCCAGAAAAGCAAAAGATCATTTAGAGTTTGAAAAATCTATTGGATATTATTTTTTATAAGTTGCTAAAGAATTAGAAAGTCAAAAAAAAATTGATTCTGCAAATTTGATACCTGAAGATTTGTACATAAAATGCATGTTTTTACTATACAAAAGAATTTATTGTGTCTTTTCATCATTAAATTAAATGCTATTATTTGATTGTAATGAAGCAGGCATTATAGAAATTGATCCATAAGATTGGTTAGAATTAATGACATCTGAATATCATCAAAATGATTTATAAAAAATTAGATAGAGTACTTAAAGGGATTTTGATATTTCTAGAAAAGAATTTATTAAATGGAAAGAATAATTATATGATGCTTAATTTTAATTAGAAAAATTCTCCATTATTGAAAGAGGAGATGCTTATAAAGATAATAGTATCGAAGAAAATGAATACTTAATTATGGCAATTAATGATAATTTTAAAGAAATGTTTTTAATTTTAGCACAATAATTAGAACCTATATATTTATAAATTTTAGAAACTTAAAAACCTATTAATAAACATTAAATATACAATGAAAAGAAAATTGATACTATATTTGTTTATGATTTGATAATATTCTTATGTTTCAGAAATATTGTTAAAAAACCATAATAAGATTGTTGCATATAAATAAATTTTTAAAAGTATTATGAAGATAGAAAAAGAATTGAAGAAATAGAAATATTACATAGAATTTAGAAGCAGTATTAAGCTTGGAAGCAGAATTGAATTTATTATTTGTTTATAATTTATTTATTTTTGCATTATTGAATTTCGCATTAGCTATTTTCAATTAAGTGAAAATTAAACCTGTTTAGAAATGATACAGAAAGTATTTTTTTAATTAAAAAGAAGTGGAGTTTTTGTATCAGAATATATTTTAATTTTTAATATTATGCTGATAATTTAAATATTTATTAATAAAATGTTTAATCCAACCTTTATGTAAGATAACAAAGTCCAAATAAGTTTGAATATTTCAATAAACTTATGTACTAAACTCTTTCATTAGTTCGGAAAATATCATTACGGCTTTTTTTTCTTTTTAAAAAAAAATGTAAGAAATTATTTACTATAAAAGCTGCACCAGGTGAAAAACAAAAAATATGACAAATAAATTTGAAGAAAAAAATTTTCCAAAGAAAAAGGAGATAATTTTTCTTTCTTGAACTAATGAACCTCAAAACAAAATATTAACATTAATTATATTTATAAAATTAATCAATGTTTTAATATTAATATATTATTCTCAAATCTTCGCCTTAGCTAATTACTATTAAATTTGTAATTATGACTTTTAAAAGGGCATTCATAATTGCCAGTTTTAAGTATTAATCATTCATTTTAATATTTACGTCTAATGCTTCCAATATATCCCTTAGCTTCACACTCCAAGCAATAAGAGCTTTAGAATAAAAGGTCTTCCAAAATTTTGCAAAAACCTATAGCCAAATAAAAAAGTAAACTTGTCAAATCAAGTAAATGTAATCATGATTCATTAATTTAGTTCATTTCAAACAAAAAGATAAAGGACAATAGTTATACTAAATTGCTTAGATAGAAAGAATGACTAAATCAAACTCAAATATTGGATATAAATGTCGATAATTAGGTGCATTATTTATCGATTAGTTTTTAATGAAAGGTTAAATATTAGAAAGGTAATACAACAAAGAATCAGCTGAATATAAGCTATCATTTATTACTTAAAATACTGGAATCTAAAGTAGAGATAATTTAGAAAATGACGAAATGTTGCATTTTTACAAACTATTACCTTGTGAAATGATAACAGAAAAAAATAGAAATACATTTTAAGATAAGATTACTAGACCTTATGAATGCTTTAATTTTTTATTTATTGATGAAAAATTAGTTGGAATTAAAAAAAAAATGAACTTTGATTTGCTTAGAATGATAGGCATAAATGAAGAAATTTTAGATGATTATGTTTAAAAAGAGAATTAACTTCCAGTATTTTGGAATATTTCCAATTTTATTTAGATAAAAGAGGGAATTTACTATACTAATTTAATAAATTTTCAAGGTGAAATTTTCGTATCCCAGATCGAAATCAAAAAATTCATATAAACAAATTCTTGTTAAAAGATATCCCATTAATTTCTATATTTTATTTATAATTGTGATAGAAGTCAATTAAATGTCAACCAAATTGAGAAAAATTTTATAAATTATTTTTAGTTATAAGCCCTACCCTTAATACAATAAATTTCAATACATAAGTCAAGAATAATGAAACCATGCCTGATTAAACCAATAAAAGATTTTAAGTGAAATGGTTATTTATTTATATAAATTATAATTAATTATTTATTAATTAAAGATGTTTATACTTTATTGTAAATTATGATTTTTTTTTAATCTTGTGTATATATATAATCTAAATAAACCTAAAATATAAAAATAATCATTCATTTGATTTTAATATTTGCCCAGTTTCCACTGTATATAAGGGACGACTTGAATTAGTTGGATAACATCCAATCAGACTTGATTCTCTATAAGTATTGCTCAGATATAAATTTTTTTCCTTGATTTATCTCTATTTTGTTTTCAAAAATTATCGTATTTTTTTAAATCTCATTTAAATTCTCTCTTCTTATTCCTTTCTTAAAACCAAATAAGGTCTCAAGCATGCATATTAAATATTTATTTTTGGAAATCTAAAAATGATAAATTTTCTTAAAGAATCCAATTATAAGTTTAATCGTTAAAGATAAACAACAAAAATCCTTCGTAATAGTAATTCTGTTTATTTATATATTAAAAATAAAATAACAGTTTATATTGCATAATTTAAATAATTTATTTCTTCCTATTAAATTACATATAACAAAAGACTGCAAATTAATGTGATTGATAATAAAAAGGAAATCTTTCCATCAATTTAATTAATTGATTATAACTTATAAGGTTGAATTTCTAAACAAAGTTTATAATAGGCTAAAACAATAAGAAACATAAAAATGCCCTTAATTAGAATTTATTATTCAAAATAGTTAACAATTAAAATGATTGATATTTTTTGTAACATTTTGATAATTTCCCAATAATATGATTTAGGTGTGTATTCATTATATAAGAATGAAAATTTTTAAAAAGAATTTTTATCATCTAAAGAATTTCTAATTTTTCTCATTTAGAAGAATAAAAAAGCAGGAATAACTAATCCAATAAAAATTAAAATTGGATAAATAAATCTTAATGACCAAATTTTATGTGTTTCAGTATCAAATTTGCTAGCAACATTGGCTTAAATCCAGTCAATACCTGATAATTGACGTTTTGTAATTAAGGATGCTCCCCTAATAAAATTAAAATAAATAAGAATACCATTTCATTATGTTTTGTAAATTTAAACAATATAAATAAATGATTGAGGAGAATAGAAATGATTTTGAAAATATCACATATTTTTTAATAAGAAAGATTAAAAATACGAAACAACAACAAGCAAAATGAAATAAAGGCAACAACAAAATAATTATAAAATGAGCATATTCATAGTTAATTGTAACAAAAGAAGGAATAGAGCAATCTAATTAATAAGTTACTATATAAGTAGAATCTCCTAAAAATATAACAATATTTGATAGATTTGCAAAAATAGTTATTTATAGTGTAGTAATTAAAGATAATATTTAAAAATTATTATTTGCCATTTTAATAAGAGTGCTTGTTTAATCCATCATTTATTTATAAATAGTTTAATAATGACGATATAAACATTTGAATTTAAATAGTTATTTATTTGATAATGTATTACTTCTAACAGTTAGACCAATTAATAAAATGATCCATAGTGATTGAAATATCATAAATATTAATTAAAAGCTTAATTTTCCACATTTTTAGCAATTAATTTCTTTATTATTTAAATAAGATCCATGTCCTCTAATATTAAATAAATCACATTCTTCACATAAAGCTCCAAGTGAACCAATAGCACATGTATTATCAGATACATCCCATCCACCTAGACATCTTATAGGATATTTTTTGCATTATTCAATATAATTAGATCTAAATTAAGGTCTCCAATAACCAGGTTAAAGCTCTATCATAGCTCCAGTAGTGCTTTTAATCATTTAGATGTTCATTCTAGTACATTATGTACTTTTTACTTCTACTGAATAATATCCTTATAAACTATCACATTTTATGCACTTTTAGTTTGAAAAATATTCTCCTATTTGACATATAAATGTCTTAACTAAAAATCTCATATAATATTCTTAATTTATAATACTACTACATTGTGTATCAACTTACAAGTAATATTAATTCGATAAATAAGGATCTAAAATAAATATCAAATCATTTAAATCATAATTTTATTTTATCTCATTAAATATTACACTTTTTATTTCAGAATTATTAGATGATGAAATTTATTCATTTAAATCTATTTAACTTATATTTAATAAACACTAAGTCTAATTTAAATCAAAAATTTATTCATTTAAACAATTAGTACATTGAATTGTATAGTGATAATCTAAATTAACATAAGAACTTTTTTCTATGTTAAATTTTTAATAATTGTTTAAGGAAATACCACTGGGCATATAAATAAATTATGCTGGTATTGAATTATTAAAATATTCAACAATCTCTATTGTCTTATTTCCACTTTCAAGATGTTATTTTAGGGTACTTTTATTATTTATTTATAATTATAGTTCAGTAGGTTCAGTAGCTAAATTATTTGCAAAATAATTTGCTTTATTATCAATCAATAAAATAAGGACCTTATTTAAACTAAATAAAGTTTTATCATATATAGCCCCTCCTATCTGAGCTTAATTCTTAATAAAACTTACATCCTTAAATTCTAATGCCTAAGTTTTATCTTAAGTTTAATAATATATCGCTCCACCAGAACCAAATGCAATATTTGATAAAAAAACTGATTTATGGATTTTTATTCTAAAATTTTATAAATTCATAGCCCCTCCTGTTTAAGCTGAATTATTATAGAATAATGAGTAAGTTAATTTGTGAATGTTTTAACTTATAATTGAATTCAAAAATAAACACGATCCTTAACCACAAGTATTTTTTAAAAATTATAAATGACTTAATCTAATTTTTTATGCTAATTATTTATTATTAATATATAATAATCCCAATTAACATGTCTTACAATTATTACTATGCATTTACATTAACATAATTTAAGCGGAGGTAATATTGTTATTAAGATTTATTTCTATTAAAGAACTGAAATTTTTAACGTCGTTTTTATTAAAGATATTTTAGTTTATTTTTTCTATTTAATTAAATTTATTTATTTAATTAATATCAAGTTCATTAAAGAAACTAATAAAAATTGATTTTATAACAACTAATGATTTCACAGCTAAATATGATAATTTATATCAAATTACATGGTATATTTTCAATATAGATGAGTAGACTTAACAAAGAATTAACATCTTATACAACTAATTTTTCCATATATAAGCAATTTGTAAAAATAAGATATAGGATTGGTTGAGCTAAAAATCCTGATACTTTAAAATCATTTAAAGATATGGCTCTAAAAATAAAATAAATATTTTTACGCATTTTAAATAGAAAACATAGCCTATTATTCTTATATTTAATATGTATTTAAATCTATTGAGTAGCTTTTCAAAAACAAAAGAAATTGTTAATAAGAATTTTCAATTTCTATATTGAATAATTCAATTAAAGAATTAGAATCAATATTTGTATCACTTACTTAGAAGAAAATTACTGAATAATAGATTGCAAAAACATCTTTAAATGTAATATTATCAAATTTTAATTGACATTGATATTTAGAAGGTTTAATATAAATAACACCTCCTTCTAAACCACTTGTTGAATTAATAAAAATAGTATCTTAAATATATAAATTTAAGTAGGAATTTTCTGAATTGATAAAAATACTTCCACCTCTTCCTTCTTATCTTCTGTGAAAATTCGTAAAAGAATTATTAAAAATTGTACTCTAAATATCAATTAATCCAAAAAATTTAGTTGTTATACTTATTACTCCTCCCAATAATCCAATGATATTTTCAAAATGACATTATTTTATAATTAATTATTAAGTTTAAAAATTAAATAAGCCACCTTAAGAGTTTATAAGAGCAGAAGCACCTAATAAATCAAATTACACTAATTATTGTTATTAATATGTATTCATGTAAAATTAAAGTTAATTGATATTTACACTTGTGATATTATATAACATAGCTGATTAAGTTTATATTAAGAAAATTGAACTACTTGAATTTAAGACAACAACATTGTTAATTTAATTGTGTTCTAACTAAAGCATACTTAATTCTGAAACAATCACAGCAATAGCCGCAGATGAAATTTTTGTATCCTACACTACTTCATTGAGAAATATTCCACTAAATTCAGAAGTTGTAAAAGATATATTAGATTTAATCAAGCTTGTTATATGAAATATAGTTGATATTTCTGAAAATGATAGTTTAAACATTTGAATATTGTTAATATTTATATTTTAAATTCTTAGATATCCATCTAATTTATCTTACAATTTAATGAGGTTAAAATAAAACAAAATAACATTAATACTTAATTAGTCTTACAATAAAATGTTATTTAATTATATTTCCTATGCTTCTATTATAAAGATTGTGTTTAAAGTTTATTCATTTAATTAATTTATATTGGATTATATTTTTTATTAACTGGAAAATATTTTCACTTCTTTAATTAATACATATTCACATTTTTTTATAACAAAATCAATTGAACCTGGTTATCTTATCAATTTAATGTTTTCTATTATTATTTAAGTTACTTGAAAATGAAAAAAATAGAAATTTAAATTTAATTTGAAATCAAGAGACTGTAGGTTTGATGTTTAAATATTTCTTAAAATTACTTTAATATCCTCAAAGCTATATTAAGGTATTGATATAATATTAAATTCTTTATATTAACAATTTGAAATTTAAAGATTTTCTATAAAATATTCCTCTTAAGAAGTAGATATGAGTGATTTAATTTTATGAATAATTTTTGAATTGGAAATAAAGCCATTATTTAAGATAATATTTTATATAAATGCTGAGGAAGATAATCTAATAAAATCACTATCAAAAATTTGAACATTTTATAGATTTATATCAAGGATTGTAGTCTTCTAAGTATTAGGAATTGTTATTAAAGCTGAATTTTTTATTTAACAATTTGTCATAATAAAATTTTCAAGTCTAAAGTTGCCATTTAATTCTAATCCAAAAGTATAAATAAAATAGCTATCACTAAAATTACAATCAATAAATTTCAATTAGATAACAGAAATTTCATTATATTGATTTACATCAAAGAGAGTTAGGAAATTAGTTTAAGAAAAAGAACAATTGTAAAATGTTACATTCTAAAATATAATGAAATCAAGTTAATTAATTTCTTTATTAACAGTTGTTAAATTAAGAAATGTTGTATTAAATAGGGCAATATTCTAAAAAAGAACATTAGTAAAATTAATTTAGTTGGGATTTTATACAGCAATTTAATAAGATCTATAAAGGATTGAAGTATCAAAATATTGATAATAAAAACTAAAAGTAGTATTTGTATCTTAAATAATACAGTTTTAAAATGAAAGGCTAATTAAACCAAGTGATTCAAAAACTAGTTTAGAAGATTAAGTTTAACTAAAAAGTATGCTTGTTTATTAAAATTAGATTTCTTAATAATTTACAAATCTGAGCTTTCCAAAAATAAAACCAAAAGAAATATTCTAAGAATAGTAAATAAATTTTGTTTATTTGAGGCTAACAATTAAAGAAATATAATTATTAGGTACATCATATAAATTCAGAAAAGAATTTTCAACTAAATTAGTAGTGCTAGAGTTGATAAAAAATGTAAATCCTGAACTACTTTTTAGATTAAAATATTTTAAACTATTAGATGAGACAATTTACATTTGATTTGAATAAAAGCTTTTAAAAGTTGTAAAGTTCTAAATGAATGATTAATAAATACTTAAGAATGGTATAATTCGCATTTAGGCATATCTGAAGAACAACTTCTAGGTAATTATAGTTGATTATCAAAAAATATATTACTATGAGTAGTTGACTTTTAAATGCATCTATAAGTTAATTCAGGAATTAATGTAGTTATATTTAGATAAGGATTAATTTAATATATCTGCCAATTTTAACGAGGTTTACAATATTCACAAAAATATGGACAATCTGAACATTTTAAATTAAGAATGGTAAGTCGTTTTGTACCTTCATTAGTAGATGCACAAGTTCTGCAACCATTATCATAAAATTCACAATTAATTGGATCAGTTTATGAACATAAAATATCTGTAACCATATTATAAGAGGCAAAACATTTTTTAACCTTTATTTTTAAAGAGTCTAGGACTTAAGTTCCAGGATGTTATTTAGTTAAATTAAAGATAAAAGGAGTCAATTAAAATTTATATTAGGATTCATACAATTGATATTATTCACATTCTAAATAAAGAGGATTAAAATCTTAACAAGACATACATAAACCATATTAATAATGTAAATAGTATCCAGATTCACATTAGATACAATAATATTAATTTTATTAAACTTTTATACAGTTAAGACATTTTGATAAATATTCTCTGCAATCTGAAATAGAGTTACTTATAGAAAAATCCTTATCAATAATACAAATTGATTTGCCTTATTCGTTTATATAATAATTTTAACATGAATTTCCTAGAAGAAATACATTTTTTTCACAAGTTCCTGTTACAAAATTAAAAATGAATCCTATTTTGCATAAGGCACAAGCTACTACTAAATCTTCTTAATCATAATTTAATTGTTAATGTTAAAAGATGTTATTATATTAAGGATCTGACTTTAGATATTGAAAACAATACTTACAATTAGGAATTGAACATGGATAACAATCATTCTATTCCATATTTAAAAAATAATTTTCATTATCATAACATTGACCACATACATTTGATGAAATTTACTAACATCTTAGTTTTATAATTTGAATTGGATTCTTATCTAAACAAATGAATTATTTATCAATATAAGCACATTTTTAACAGTCTGAATGACATTATTTACATTCTCCATCTAATAATTATGCATCATATTTACAAATCACCATTATTTTTTATTATAGGTGATAATAATTACTTTATTTGCATTCATTTGAATATGGATATGTTAAACATAAATTAAAACAAAAGGGACAGTAACTTAGTTCTTCATTATTAAATAAGTAAACTGCATAAGGTTCCACATTTAATAAAAGTATCGATAATGGTATAATTATATCTTATGTAAAAGTATTATTTTGACTCTAATTATACTATTGATAATCTATTGAACATATTGGATTATAAACCCAAGAATTTGGATATTAAATGCATTCAGGACAAAAATATAACTTTGTTAATTTAGGACTAATAAATATATATAATATGTAATACCATGCATAACATTTATCTTCATATTTAAAATATCCATAACTACAAACTATAATTGGATATTCTGAGTCGTATTCTTTCTTAGTTGATAATTGTATTAATTTCTCTTAAACTGTTGAGGTTGATACCTAAAAACATGAGCTTACACTTAAATCTAAATATCCATGTTTACAGATGCATTTAAAATCAAATGATAATTATCTATTTGAAGATGTTGTACAACTTAAACATTAATTTAATTAAGGTCCTGTACATGTAGAACAAGAATAATGACATCTTGGAGTTAATGTTGTTAGACAAGAATAAAAATATGGTAGATTAAATTATCCAACTGTATTGCTTCTATTTGAAAATGTTCCTCCTAAATGTATTATTAACATCAAATCTGAAAATTAATTTATATTAGTTATTGTTTTTGTAAATTGATAGTTTTATTGTACAAAATTTAAATTCAAAGATATCTAATTATTTCTAAATGAATATGAAAAATAATGCCAATTATAAAGAGAATATTAAATACCAATTTCATAACTTACAATCTTTTCTAATGGATCAACACCATTTGATAATTTAGGTATTGAAGGAAATGAAAATGTCTGGTATACAACCTCTATCATTTATTTTGTTGAATTTATTAAATATGTTACTTAAGCTATCCTTCCTCCTATTTATGTTTAATAATTTAAATTTGGATTTTATTATATGTGCATTACATTTATATAATTATTGTTAATACCTTTATTTTCTACTATTTTTATCCAAGTTGTTATTCCATATGATTTTGAAATCAATTCTTTAATAGTAAATTCATAATACTATTCTGTTGTAAAATCAAATTAATTTCTCATTGCATAGCCAGAAGTTGAGCTACAAGTTTTTTAAGTTTGTGCAACAAATCGAGAGGAGTATGGTATTAATTGAAACTTAAGAACTCCCTAAAATTGAAAGTATCCTAGTGATTTAGACTAAATATTTATTTATTTTTACAATTTTTGATTCACCAATGTAAAATGAAAAATAGTCAGTTATGGCAAAATATTCATTTTAATATATCTTTTAAAACATCACATTCTTATTCGAATTTTAGTAATATGTAATGTTCAATTATTTTTAAAAAACGTCATTTCTTATTTCTAAACAATACCAAATACCTTCATAATTTAAATTTGTGACTTAGTATTATTATACATAATTTTGTTTTTGGGTTAATATTTCAAAATAATGTGTCAATGTCTTCAATGTTGTATCGATTTTTAAATATTGTAAAAATACATATCCAACATTTGAATCAGTCATTTATCCATTCTAAATTGCAAATATTATATAATTATTAACACTGTTCTATTATGAATTTATGTAGGAATAAGAAGCAGGTATATATTTTTATTCAACTGTAAAATACAATGAATTATTCCAATTTGTCATTTAATATTGATATTAATAGTTCTATTAAGTTGGATTAACAGTTCCAGACTATGCTTCAATGATTCCAAATATTAAAAATGATGATAATATTAAAATCATAATAAATATTTATTTTATTTTGTTACTTTATAATTCTTATATTAAAATATTTCATTACATATTAACAATACAGATATTAATTTATCTTTCATAAAGTTCTTATTCAAAAATGTTTAATTATAAAAAAATTTTAAATAAAACCTAATTGAAAATTTTATAAATTGTATGAAAAAACAAAACTGAAATAAATCTTATTTGATTATCATTTTTTAATATAAAACTAAATTACCCACTCAAGCTTAATTAGTTTCTTAAAAAAAAAAATAACTTTTTACTTAAACTTATTGAATACAATTAGTAGGATTAACTGAATAAATAAATTAAGAAATATCTACCGTAATCTTTTGTTGTTACTAAGATTATTTCATTTGTTTCTTATCCTTCATAAATTTTATGTATTCAAAAAAATGCTAAAAGGAATTATGAAAATTTTAATCGAATTAAATTGTGGAATTTCTAATACATATTTTCCTAAGTTTTAAGTCTCCACCATTTAATTAAAAGAATCAATAATGTAGGATTTTAGGTATTTTATTCATGATTAATTGATCACAAAATAGTGGAATGCATCTAATATAAAAGAGTTTATTAATCCTTAAACCTAATAAAAAGGTAAGAATTTATTACTAAAAGTAATACATTTTGTAATCAATTCACAAAATAAATTTAACTGTAGAGCATTTTTTTTAAAATGGTGTCAGAACATCAAGTTTAAGATTTTTTTAAAAAACTTTAAAGAAAATAATTAAAACGACACTCAAATTTAATAACAATAAATCCTTTGGTTTTCAAAATCTATATAAAAAGTCTAAATTAATAAAGAAATGAAAAAAATTATATTTGAAAAAATTATCAAGAACATTAAAGATTTTCTTGAATTGATGAAGGACTGAAGAGAAAATGAATATCCAGAATATTGAAAAAAAAGAATTTAGTTGAGAATAGCTTATAAAAATTTCAAAAACCAAAAAATGCAAAAATATTTTAATATTTGGTAAAGGAAAAAGAATATTTAGGAAAAAGATTATATAATTTATTTATCAATGTAAAATTTAGTTAAGGCCTTATAATGAAGAATATGTAGAATAAATTTATGAAAATAATATTATAATTATAGAGAATATCAAAAATGATAAATCTAGAATAGATTATAGAAATTTATAAAAATTGCTAGATGCAGTATGATATATTGTTATATATTTGATTTGAAGTAAGTCAAAAAAAAGATTTAAAATGAAAATCCCAGTTATTTAAAAACAATATAAAATATTATTCATAAGTCCTATTTTTTTTCTTTTCTCTCATAAATTTCACACTTGGTGAATTCTTTGATTTAAAAGTCGTTTTTTTCATTGTCCCAATTTTTAAGGCTAAATTCAACCATAAACTCATTTACAGACATTTTCACATGGTACTTATTATGAACAATAAAATACAATCATATTTATGGTATTGAAATCAACATTACTGCCTTGATAAATTAATCTTTCAAAGAATTAATCTGTGTTGCAAAAACCTTAGTAATGACTTTCAAAGAATGCCAATCCAATATCTTTAATAATGGGACGAGTTATCACATCATAATCAGGATTATTTAATGTTTTAAACATCTTTGCCATTTCTTCTGTGATTCCATAATCAATAGTTCCGTAATTTGTAGTACCTTTACCTCCTTACAAATTTTCAACTGGTTATTCTATTTCTTCAAATTCGATTGGCATTTTAGTCCATTCAACACCATCCTCATAGACAGTTTCTACTTCACTAACTACAAAATAAACTAGTATATTGAAGATAATAAATTTCATTTATTAATATATATCGTTGTAATAATAATTGTCATCAACCTGTTCTAAGAATTATATGCCATCCTGAATCACTTTTAACTGGTTAGCTTAATTCTCCAACCTTTAATGCAAATGCTACATCTTCAAACTACTTTTGCATTTATCCTCTTGTAAATTCACCTAAATCCCCGCCTTTTTAACATGAAGAACACTATTTTTATAATATTTAAAAAATACTTCACTTCTATCTTAAGCTATTTTAGCAAATAAATTTAAATTGTTTTCAACTTAGGCTCTTATTTCTCTTATTCCTTTCTCTGCATCTGCATCTGATCTTATTTATAAAATTATTTAAATACCTTGTAATCTATTTATTTCTAACTCTATCCATTGGATTTCTAGATTAGTTTGATTTTAATAAAATATGAGACGCTCTCACAGATTTTCCTTGCATTTTGATTATATTTAATATTAATTTAAATTTCATTCATTTTTATGAGAAAAATGATCTTGAATTCATTAATAAACTAACATTAATAATAAAAATAATTGTCATATTTCTTTATTATTTACACCACCTTTTTAATATGGATTTTGATTAGGATATGTCATTTATGTATTAATTAATCCAATCAACAAACTAAAATAATAATTATAATTACTTATCTTCAGATTATTATTATTTATTAATATTTTATGGTGGAGCTTAAGGAGGATGAGCTTTATTATTTTCTTCTGGCTATAATGATTAAATTATATCTATGTAATATATTATTGTAAATACCTTAAATTGGAACCTTTTTATTTGGAGCTCTAGCCCATTAAATTTTGCATATAACATCCTTAATTATAATATTATTATATAATGCATTCACAGCAGTTTCTGCATCTTTTCTTTTTGCAAAATTAATGAAACAACTTTGACCATGTTCCATAATTTTAATTGAATTAAGTTTTCCAAATTTTTAAAATAAATGTCTATTTATAAAATATAATTAATTTACTTTAAATCTGATTCTTTGATATCATTTGTCATATGAGAAATATATAAACTACATATTTTAGGATCATCAGGTGGTAATAAACCTTTTGCCTCAAATTTTTCCTTGTATAATAAATCAATGTCTTGAGGATTTTCTAAAGGCTCTCCATATACTTAATTAGCTGGTTCGGATTTTCCATCATTTAATTAATTATTCACATCTGCTAATCTTGGCTCTTTTATTATTTAATCAAGTAAGGGTAAAGGTTTATCATATGGTAAAATTAATCTTTCAATTTGTCGATTTGCTTATTCAGCCCAATAATCCCTATTAGCTGTATGTTCAGGAATTTCTATTTTTTAATCTCCAAGAAATTTATCTCTAGTGCATAATCCCATGTTAAATTCTAAATCTTTAAAACAAGCTTAACAAATATTTTTAATTTTCCCACATGTTTAACAAACTTCAGTCTATTTTTATCTAGAATTATTTCCAGGTTTCCATTTGAATGTTGTAAATGGTCTTGCACATATTCTACATTCCCTTCCAAATCTATCTTTTAACTTAAAATTTTATTTAAAATATTTAATATACCATTCTTATGTAAGGATTTTCACCTAAACAATTATTACATACAATTGGAAAATCAGTCTCTTCCCAAGCTAATTTACTTATATCCTATTTTAAAGCATGACCTCTTTCTGCCATTTTTATATTAATTTTTGTAAATTATATTAATGTATATAAATCATTTTTTCTTTAAACTAGACTTTTATTTTTTATGATTACTTTCTAATATTGTTGAACTTACTCTCAATTATTAATTTTATTATTTCTCTAAATATTGTATAACATGTTTCATAAACTAATGATTTTAACGTTGTTATTATTCTTATGCTTCTTCTAATTTATGAACCAATTTTTCAATTATTTAGAAATCTGAATTTGAATTTGTTTTTGCAGAATCTCTCTATTTTTCAAATCTTTATTTAATTTCACTAATTTCTAATTACAATCTTTCACTTTTCTTTCTCTCTTCTTAAACTTCAATCGTTAAAGAACTGACTTTTGGATTGCTTAAATTTTATGCATTCATTAATTATTGTATTTCTCTTGTTAGATATGTATTTTCATCTCTTAATGTCTAAACTAAAATTTTATGATTTTCATTTTCTTTATTTACTTAATCAATTTCACTAAAATTGATAGAATACTTACTTTTATTTAAAGTCTAGTTATTATGTTAATCCATTAACACATTCTTTTAATTCTTCAATAACCTATTTTAATTGTAAAATAGTATTTTTTAATTAATCGATTTCAATTCTATATGACTAATCAATTTCTTATATTTCTTTCAATAATGGAATTTAGCAATCAGAAGTTCTAGAACATTAAGTCAATAATTTTTATGGAGGAATATTTTCTAATTGACTAAAAATGTTAGAATCTCCTTTTTCCTTTTTTGAATGCATTGATATATGTCTATTATTAAAGTCTAAATTTGAATTGTTTAATGGTAATGGTTGAATTTGTTTAGTAGACTGAGTCTTGAGAAAGTTTTTAACTCTCATTTCTATTTTATCGATTAATTAATGTGTCTATTCAACTCCAGCATCTCTCAACATAAATTTTAACAGATTATATTTTTAATATCATTATAATTAGTGTTTCTCTTCCAATAATCTTAATTCTTTTTCCAAACGATTTATTTCAATCTCTTACTCTGTAATTAAATTTGTGGCTTCCTCTTCAATCCTATAACGTTCCTTCTTTTCTTCTTATAGTTCTTTCAATAATTTTGTTAATATTTCTCTATCTATATAATTTAAAAATATTACTATTGCATCACAGCATCACAAGCTGAATGATCTTCCTTTTCTAAAATATCAATATTTAATTACTTTCAATATTTGCTTTAATCTAATTCAATTTCTCTAATATTTCACAACACCATTCTTCAATATTAGTCACTTAGCTTTATTCTATATTTTCCTTGAATTCCATTAATTCTTTTTATAATTTCTATAGAGTTTCCATGATTTTATCCTCTTTCTCTTCAGGCTATTGTTTTACCACTTTTATATTATTACTGAATAATTTTGTAGCACTTCTATACAAATATGTAAACTAACCTATAACTCTTTTGTAATTTTGGAGGTATTTTTGTTTCTTTGCTCTCTTTCAATATTGGAGATTGAGATTCATCCACTTTCATAGTTTTCTATTTATTTAATCTATTCAATTCTGATGGATTAGAAAATAACCCAGGCTTAATATTTGGACTCAATCCAGGTGATTTATACATAGGACTCTTTCTTCTGTTCATTTAATATAAATTATATATTTTAATTCCTTTTTAATAATTAAAGCTTTGTATTAAGCTTCTTAATGATTCATTTATTATTCATCAATAAGCTTACATCTTAAAAACTTAATAAATTAGTGCATAAAAGTCTTTATCAATGAATATTTTAATATTAGGTTTCCTTATGAATTGTTTACTGATTACTTTATATTTTGCCTTAAAGATATCCTTGAAAAAGACAGGTAAAGTCAATTTTTCCAATTAATAATTTTGTATATATTATGCAAGATATTTTACATTAATTGAATAATCAAATATCTGATAGATATATTTGAGTATTCGAAAAATAGCTTAAACTTCTGCTGCTTTAATCTCTATAAGAAAATTCTATTATATACTATATCAAAAATAACTATTAATTGAATCATTTATTTTTTATCTTTTTATTAAATTTCATTCATGAAATGGAAATTATTTATTCATTATCTCTTTTTATAATTTATTTATAAATTTATTCAATTGATGAGATGTCAGATTATTTTATTGATAAAATATATTTTTTATTTCATAAATTCTTTTAAGAATTTGATATAAAATTTTAGAAATATAATTTAGCATATTTCAAAAGTCATCTTAAATTAATACTCTCTAAAAATATAAAAGAAAATTATCAATTATAGAAATAATAATTAATTTTAAAAATGATATGCATTTTTTAGCAGAATTATGAATTTAGTTAGAAATTTATTTCATAATAAATTTTATTTTATTTTATTAATATGACTTCTTATAGAGATTAAGCCTTTGGAATAAATTCAAGGCCTTCAAATGACCCAATAAGATTTCCATAAACTATAACAGGTGATATATATACAAATTTGCCATAAAAACCATTAGCCAATGAATAGACTTCAGGATTGCCATTTTAATTTGGTTCTGCTCCTGCTAGAGCATATGCTTAAGAAGTAATTTGAATAATAATATATTAGCTTTAATTATCTCCAGATATATAAGTACTAGCGAGATAATAACAAATGTAATAACATCCAACTGCAATGCCGGTATAATAAAAAGTGATCTAACCTTCGCCTTTATATTAAGAAATCTAACATTTTGATAAACCAGTTAAAGTTGTTTCAAGAAATGATATAGAAGAACCATGGAGAAGTAATAATTTTATTAAATTGAAGATAAGTGCTAATTTTTGGAGAGACAAATTTATGATTTACAACAAGAAAACTTAAGGTTGAGATAATAGAATATAGCATCAGAAAAAGTTACATATTTTGAAGATACTGGAAGAGTTAACTAATTAATGTAAGAAATAGATAGATTAAATAAAACTATATTGGATTTAAACTCAGAAATAGAATAATGGAGATAAAGATATTAAAGTTTAGAAGCATAACTAAAAACAAGATAAAATGTAGAAATGGAAATTGAAAGAATGAGAAGATCAGTTTAAGATAATGAAAATATTATGCATGTAGAAATGAATAGATTAAGAGAGCAATTAGATGAATGGTAAAAAAGATGTTAATCACTTGAATCTTAAAGCTAAGATGCTTAAACTTATTTAGCTAAGTCAAGAACACATGAACAATAAATATGTAAATATTGAAATCGTTATATTTTAGTTAATTTATAAGCTGATTTGAAAAAACTAGAAATAACACTTAAGTCTAAATAAGATGATTATGATGCTTTATAATAGAAATTTAATAGACTTGAAAGAGTGGTTAGAGATAGTGAATACTAATCCTAAGAGATGGCTAAGTATTTATGTTTAATATCTTTTTAGTCTTAGAAAAATTATTGATGATCGAAATAAAGAGATTGATGTTTTAAGAAGATAAAATCCATCATAATTTGGAAATCAAAATAATAAGGATTAGGAAGGGAAGTTGGCTCTTTTTTAGGGAGAATGTGAAAGGCTTAACTAATTATTAAATCACAAAGAACAAGAATTGTAACTATACAGAGATTAGCTTAAGAGATAATCCCACTATAGTAACAAATAATGAAATCTATTTTATTTTGATAAAAACCAAACTAACCACTTAAATCAATTTTATTTTATATTTTCTATCTTTTATATTAGATAACTTGAAATTTCTAATCTTTAATGTATATTATAAGTTTGTCTAAATGAAAAATATATTTACAGATTTCATTCATATGTCTATAATATTGTTAAAATTACTTCAGAAAATATCTTATAGGTTAAAAATTTAAAGAACTTTAGATTAATTTCTAAAATTAAATAAAAAAAAAAAGAAATCAATAAATTAGTTATAATTCTAAATTTTTCTAATTTTATTTAAATACTCTGTTTAACCTTAACTAATTTCATGTATAAATTGTTATTTTTTTAAGATGTAGATAACATTTTTAATAAAATATCATAAACTTATAGAAAAAGCAAAATTAATTTTACAAATTAATTAATTATAATTAGTCAACATTTATATTTTTATTTATACCAAATATTTCAGATTTCTCCTTTATATTAATGTGAAAGATATGAAATGACCTAAAGATAAATAGATATATTAAAAATTCTAATATAAAATTATTATTAATTAATTTCATATTTATCAATAATTGCTTCTCCATAAAGGTTTATTAGAGTACCATTGCGAAGGTTGTTAGACATAATATAATAAAACATCATTTTTGTATTTAACATATTCTGGAATATTATTAGCTTCTGATAGTAAAATACATTTTGTAGCTTATGAAGACAAGAACCAGATTAGATATTGCTAAAAAATTTTTTTACGTTCTTATTCATCTTTAGATTCATTAGCTTAAATTATTAAATGATCTTTTAGAACTCGAAAACCTGATATGATTTCTAAATTTTATTGATAAAACTTTTGAAATTCAATTAATTTTTTATTGTTATTTCTAAACTTTTCTAATAGAAAATTTTGGGCTTATATATTGTTTATTCCTTTTATTCCATGTCTTAAAATATTTCTACATATATTTTTTTTATAATCCCTAATTGCAGCAGACTGTAATTTTGCTTTCTTATGAATTTTCTTTTTCTTTATATATTTATCTAAAGAAGGAAGGTTTGATTTTAATTCTAAACTTAGTTAAGGGTTCAAGAAATATTAGCTTATACTTAATTATGGATATTAATCTTAAGATTATTATTATAAAGGCAATTATTATTAGTCTTCTATTTTAAAATCTTCATATGACTACTAATTAAAAATTTTCAGGCAAAATTGGTTTGGTCTTTTGTTTTGTACAAAATTAGCTGACTCAACAAATTCACTACTTGGATTTTTGAATGAATATACAAATGAATTCATAATTTATTATAAATATTAAATTCATAAATTAATATAATATCACTTCCCATTAAAAATAATCTAATTTTGTAAGTATTAATCAAATATCAATAGAATTAGAAAACAAATTTTTTAGATTCAATTCCAATTTATAAAGAATTTCTTTTATAAATATTAATTTTGGTATAAAACTCTAACTATATATTATTATAGTTTTTAGTTTACAGAAAAAAACACAAAAATAAGTGAAGAAAGCATTTTAAATTACTTTCTTCAGTTATTTTATTTTAATTAATATATATTCATATGAAAATCTTCAATAAATTTATATAACACAAAGTTATTGTATAATTATCGTATAATAAACTATTTTTGAATGAAAATGTAAATATATTTTATAGATTTAAACTGCTTTAAAATTGAATTAGTAAGATCTTTCATTTAAATATGGCAATTTTTTATTGTACATTGCATAAATTATTTTTTAATTGAAATGGATAATAATTAAAGAAGTTAAAAAGAAGCTTACTTATAAGAAGAGATTTTAGATAAAGGAATTGATCCCAATCACTTTCAAGATTTTTGTGAGAAAATAAAAGGAGAAGGTATGAAATTAATATAAAATAAGAAAGTGATATAGATAAATGGACTTTGGAAGATCTTGTGTAATTAGTCAATTAATATAAAATTGAATTTTTTACTACCGATTTTGATTAACCAGTAGACGATATGATTATTGGATGGAATGCTTTTGATCAAGTGATTCCATAAATGGATATAAAAAGTGATCCTTAGATGTGGAACTTATTAGATTTAGATTATGTAGAATCTTCTCCTGTAATCAATCAATAAGAAGATAAAAAAGTTGATTAACCATAAAAAGAAAGTCAAAAATAAATTTAGTAAATTCATTAACAATAAACATTGGAAATTAATTAAAGAGTCTCAGAAAAACTAGATCTTCCAAATATAGGTAAACCATTGGCTATATCTCCAACTGCTTTGAAGCTATAGGAAATACAATAATAAATGCCTAAAAAATAGGCACCTGAAATTTATTCATTTTCTTAATGTTCTAAATTATAATGTAAAAAATTAGGATTTAATATATTCGCATAAGGAGTTCCTTCTATTAAAATAACTGGGTATCTAATTAGAGATATATATTTAGCTTTGAAAAAAAAGCAGGAGGCCTCTTTAAAAGTGATTATGTTTTATATAGTGTTAAAACAGGAGATGAATATAGTGTATAAAGAAGATATTCTGATTTTCAATGGTTGTAATAAACACTTTTTAAATTATTCCCAGGAATTGGTATTCCTAGTCTTTCAGAAAAAACAGCTAAAAAAAATGCAAAAAATACTGTTTAAAAAAGAACCATTATATTAGAATTCTTTTTAAATGAATTAGCAAAGAGTGAACTTTTTAGAAATAGTAAATATTTTGTAGACTTTCTTCGTTTAAATGATCCAGTTTAATTTAAATAATTAATAAAGTTTGGTGAAAAATTAAGTAAGCCTTGTAAATTTGAAAGTATTTTAAATATGACAGGAACTGTTGTATTTGTACCAGATATTAAATTGAATAATTTTGAAACTTTTATATAATAAGAAGAGCCAATTTATGCAAAGATAAAAAATTTATTCAAAGAGATAACACATCATTTATCAGCAGTATCTAAACTTATTAAAGATATTGAAGATTCTCTAAAATTATTAACTGGTTTATGTTAAAAATATGAAATTAATCAAGATTATGATCCTTTATAAGAAATGACCAAAAAATTAGAAGAATAAATAACATAATGCAGTTCAAATTAATACAATAGAATGTATAACATGTTTCGATATCAAACTTTAAATTTTACATAAATAAAAAACATATTAAAATTAAGAAATGAATTACAAACTGAATTTTCAAACAGAAAAGATTTTAAAGTTGAATAAATAAATGAACTCTTTAGTTCTAGAGAGAATGCTAAATCGGTCGATGAATTAGAATTTCCGGCAAAAGTATTAATTTATGTAATGATATTTAGAGTTCAAGACTTTTGGCATACTAATTAGGTTACATGAATTGGAGAACAATAGAAGAAATTAAGACATTTTTAGAGCATCGTTAGATTGGATTTCAAACTTTTTCACAATAAGTGCTAAAATGATTATTTGTAATTTATCTATATAATATTTCAAAAATTCTAATAATTATGTAAAAAGCATAACTAAAAAACTTTTTTAATAATAAGCCTAAGTATTTAAATGGAGAAAATTAACCAAATAAATTTAGTCTCAGAAAATATAGAGGCAATTCAGTTGATCAAGTCTTTAGAAAACATTAGTATGGAATATAATAAATAAAAGATTAGAGTAGAGTAAATACCATCTACTCCTACAAAAAAAGAAAGAAATATGACACCACCATTTAGATAGAAAATACCATAAGATTAAATTTAATAAGAATAATAAGAGAAATGGGGATCTTAAAAGCTGTAAACAGAAAATCGATAGTAAAAAAGTTATTCAATCAATAAAGAAACAGAAAATAAAAAAAATAAAGATTAACATCTTTAAAAAAAGACTAACTCAAACACATAATAAAAGTAAGTTGCCAAAAAATATATTTTTAAGAATAAAAAATACAGATGATCAGCCATAGTTGTTAACGATTACAGGAAAATTAAAATAGTCCAATAAAATTTCAGAATTTCCTTAGAATAAAATGAAGTAAAGCCCTGTTTAAGTGAAACAAAACCAAATTCCAAAAATTCAAGCTATATAAGAATAAAAGATTGAATCAAAAACTAATTCCTTTAAAACCATTTAAAAAATAAAAGAATCAAAACCAATAAATTTAAAATAAGAAATAAAGGTTTTTAAACAATAAGAAGATCAAACTTAATAGATTCTAACAACAAGATAACGAACAAATAACGTATCTTTTTCTCCAAATCAAAAAATATTAAAAACAGAACCAAATCTCATCTAAAATTGCTTATCTCCTAAATTAAAAGCTTTAGTAAATATTTATTTATATAAAGTCATCTGTTGCTCGTCCAATTTTTAAAGATGCTAAATATTACATAACTCCTTTAATTCATTTTTTGAGGGAATCATATTTTCCTAATACTACACCTTTTAAACTTTAATTCAAAATAGAATTTTAAGATTAATAGTAGTATTTTAGATAAAAATTTTGTGATCATTTTTTAGCTTCTTTTGCAAATGTCAAAAAATGTTAAGATTTTAAATTAAAAACAAGAGTAGAACCAATTTATTTAGATCCACCAAAAAAACCTAAATTAAGCAAAAGTCATATTAAAACAATTATATTTGATCTTGATGAGACTTTGATACATTGCAATGATAATAATAATAATCCAACTGATTATGAAGCTACTATTTAAGTTCCTAATGAACCTGCTTATAATGTAAATTATTTGAATTATTTATTAGATTCGTTTTAATCTCAGACCTAATTGTATTGAAATGTTGTAAATTTTATCTTTATACTATGAATTAATACTATTTACTGCATCTTTTAAAGAATATGCTGATAAAATTTTAGAATATATTGACCCAAAATAAACTATTTTTGCTTATAGATTATATAGAGAAAGTTGTGTATGTTTAGATGGAAATTTGTTTGTAAAAGACTTAAGTGTTATTTAAGGAAGAAAATTAGAGGTAAATAAAAAAATAATCATATAGCATATGGTATTAGTTGATAATTCAGCTCATTGTTATTTCTTTCAACCTGACAATGGTATTCCAATAATCCCATTTGAAGAAAATAAGAAAGATAAAGAACTTATCTTTCTTACCGATTATTTTACTAAATGTGAGAAATATCCTAATTGGCTCGATTAGCATAAGCACAATTTTAAAAATTTTATCCATTTTAAATCTGAGACAATAGATACATGTTTAAGAAGATTTGTTTGATTTATTAATACAAGTATATTATGAATAAATAAATAAGTGTTTTAATTTGTAATTATATGTAAATTCATTTCTTCTTTAATTCTGATAATCTTTTATCTTCCTTTAATTTTCTATCCATTTCTTCGTATTTAAGAAGAGCCTAAGATTCAAATCTAATAGCTCTTTATTCTAAAATGTCTATTCTAAATTGAATATTAATATATTCATTATCATCAGGATCTGATTTCTTTTATTGCATTTATTCAGCCTAATCTAATTTTGCTCTTTCTTCTTCTAGCTTTTTCTAAATAATTGCAGCTCTCGATAATAAACTAGAAATATATTTAAAATCTGATACCGTTCTTTTAATTTCGTCATTACATCTTTTTGTATTTCTAAGGCTTCATTGTATGTTAGGACTTCCTTACCTTAAAGTTTTCTCTTTTCTAAATAAGGATATAAGTAATCTTTATCAGCTTATTCTCTTTGTTTTTCTTCTTCAGATTTCTTTAAAGTTTCTTTATATCTTTCTCTAGCTTTATCATGAAGAGTTTTCTCTAACTTTAAATCTTAAGATCTAAGCTATTCTTCATCTTTTTTTACTTCATCTTCTTAATTTTTAATGTGTGTTAAACATTCTTTCTCTAAAGATTATATTATTAACAATTTACCTAGATTTGCTATACGTTAATTTTCTTGTGAAACCAAAGCATCTTCATTTTTTTTCTCAACTCCAGGTTCAGTTAATTTTCCTAATCCATGCATGTTCTCTCTTTTTAACTCTTTGAATTATGGATTTATTTCTCCTTTGTTCATGTGATAATAAACCCTAAAATAAATAATATAAATACCTAATTACATTTTTGACTAAATCAATAACAACTTTTTATGGTTATTCACTTGCTGGATATAGTTCACTTAATTCATATTTTTAAGTCATTTTAGTAATTTTGACTTATCCCATATATCTATCATTATGGACTAGATCTTTTGGATCAAATTTTTTATCAGTAGTAATAAATCTAACAGATCTATATATAACTCTATCATCTCTATTTTCATATTCCTCGATAGTTTTTTCTCCAATTTTTTCAATTCTTTGAATTAATCCATCATGATTTCTAGTAGGATAATATAGAATAATCCTCAATTATCTATCAATTGTAGTAATGGTTTTTCTTTATGGTTTATTACCAGGTTCATACTCTTCAATAGTTTTAAATTCATAAGGAAATCTTCTTTTTAATACTAATTTGTCAGATCTATGTTTATAAAAATATCTAATTTCATGAATTTTTAATCTTTTATAATCTTAATAGATCGTAAATCTTTAAACAAGTCCATCTAATTCTTATGAATATGGAGCATATGAGTCAATTTTACATTTCTTATAAAAAACAGTTGACTCTCCTAAAGGAGTTCCTTTAAGAAAAGATTCTTTATCAATAAAAACTTTAGGAGGCCAAGGAGGTGGCATATCTAAGATTTATGCAATATCTTATAATTATTATTGTTATGGATCAACTTGTTTTTATTATTAATTATGATCTTCTCCATAATTATAATCTTCATCATCTTATTATGCTTATTCAACCATAGTATCAAGCATAACATATTCCCAATTCATAGAAGTGTCCATTTCATCAAAATTTAGATCAGCTACCTTTGATTCAAGTTTCATATTAATCCAAAAGTTTTTATTATTAAAAACAGCATCTACAGCTAAAAAAGGACTGTCATTAATTTAATAGATTCTACCAGTTGAAGGTTCAATAAATAAATTTCTTTCAACTCCTCTTTTTCCTGCTTTTAATAAAATCCAACAATGAATTCTTTTTCCAGCATAAAAATCTTAACCCATTTAATCAGGTTCATCATCATCTATAGTTAAAGCTATTCTTCTTTATTCTTTTTCATATTCCTCCTTTTATTTTTATATCTTTGTATCATATTTTGAAATTATTTCTTCTTTTGGAAGTATAGCAAATTCATTATCTTTTAGTTCATCATTATCTTTATCTTTATCTTCATCATCTTCTTTAATTCCATTATTAATAAATATATAATCAAGATCTGATTCATTCTTACTTGTTATTGATCTAGGTGCTGTTCCATAAACACAATATGCATCATAACCTACTCCTATTAAAACACTACAAAGTAATATTGACAAATCAAAACAATCTCCCTTTTACCATCTAGCTACATTAGTTGGACTTGGTATAACCTTTGGAAATTAATCAGGAGGATCCAATTATTCATAAGCTATAAAAAAACTCATATATCTTGCACACTGTTCATAATTATATAGTTCTAAATATCCAATTTTTTAAGGACGTATAGTTGTACAGATAAATTTATACAAATCACATTCATTTTTCGGGTAAAGGAACAGATTTCTCTTTTCATCATAATGTAATTGAAACTGTTTTTGAAATTATTAAACATGCTCTAATACTAACTCTTCCTTTGGTGAATTTTCTATACTTACATCATTTAAAATTACCTTTGTAGCAAAATGGAATTTAAATATCTTTACCTTCTTTAAAGTCTCTACATCTTTACAATTTCTCATTTACTACTGTTGCATTTCCTGATTTCAATATTGCAAGGATATTATTTTATTACTATTACGCCTATTTCTATATTTCCATATCACTCACAGCAGAAGATGTCATTATTTTAATATTTTAATTTATTTATTTCTAATTTATAGATGCTTATAACTAGTGACTAATATTTATTTTATTTTAATTATATTTATCTTCTAATCAATTTTTAATGCATTTATATAAAATAACAAACATATAAAAAAATCATCATTATTTATCAATTTAAAATATTATAAGTATCATATGATTAATCATTTATTATTGATAATTATTAGAAATCAAAACTAATTCTAATAAATTATAATAATTTAGTTATAAAATAAAATAAAAATGTTGAATATTAATGTGTTTGTACATCATTTTAAAATTTATTAGAATACCTTTTATTTTGATGATATTTTATATTTTGTTTAATTAATTTTCATTTTCCATATTGCATTGCCAAATTTTATTATCCAGGTGGGAAATATTTAACTAAATCTTCTTTGCTTAGATCATCAAAGAAAGGATGTTTCATTGCCTCTTTAACATAAATTCTCTTAGCAGGATCAAGAGCAATCATTTTAGTAACTAGATCTAATCCATTCTAATATTATATTTTATAAAATAAATACTTTTTCAAAATTTTTGAAAAATTATTCTGGAGGAGTTGGTCTAAATCTAGGGAATGTAGGTTTAAAATCTGGAAGATCTGCAATGTTTGGCCAATCTTATACAGTAGGGGTTCCATGATATTAAAATATCTTAAAGATTTAATCGATTTCACTATCTCCACAAAATAATCCATGTTTTTCAACCATTTCTGTAAGAATACATCCAACAGACCAGATATCAACTCCCAAAGAGTATTACTTTTATGATAATAATATTTCTGGAGCTCTATACCAAAGAGTTTCTACTTCATGTGTAAGAGTTTTTATAGGTACTCCAAAAGCTCTAGCTAATCCAAAATCTGCTAATTTTATAATTCCTGTTGATTTGTCTATTAAAATATTTTATGGTTTTAGATCTCTATGTATTATACGTCTAGAATGACAATAATTGAGACCATTTAATATTTGGAATGTAAAATGCTATAATTGATATAATTAATACTTTGATTTAACTTAATGTGAGATTGTGTTTGTTTTAATCTAAGAATTTTTTGAAATCCATCTCAACATACTCAAATACTAAATAAAGTTTTTTCTCATTAGGTTAATAGATGACTTCTTTGAGACCCACAATGTTTGGATGTGGTTAGAGTTCTTTTAATATCGAAATCTCTCTCATAGCTGTAGATGGAACTCCTTCATCTTCATTTTCTAACTTAATCTTCTTCAATGCTACTAATTCTTTTGTAACTGAATCACGTGCCTTATAAACAACTCCATAGGTTCCTAAACACATTAAAAATTAATAGTTACCTTCACCAATTTTCTCTAATTTCTCATATCTCTCTAATTATCTATTGTTACTATTACTGTTCATCTTATCTCCTCCTCTTAAATCATAATAATTTTATGCTTAAATAGACATGCATTCATACTTAACATTGGGTATAATAAATTCAAAAATTAAAATATTAACTGTTATTTAAATCAACCCTAATAGAATGTAGATCTCTAATCGATTTAAAATAATTTTGCATAAAAATCATTTTCTGTTTCACTTGGTTCATCTTTAGGTAATTTTAACATCCCTTATACAATCTTTATTAATCCTTTTTCATCAACTTATGGGTAAACAATGAATTCAATTTTGGCTTATTCTTTCATTAGTCTTAAACTATTTAGCAAACTCTCCAAAAACTCATCATTATTCTATTTATCTTAAAATTTATTGAAAATAGGTAACAATATTTTTTTATTATTAACAATATCAAATAAAGCATTTAGAGATGGAATACAAACAAATGTATCACATTAAATAAATTTTAAACTAAACTTGAAAAAATTTTTCTTTCTTTAATTTAAATATCTATCGGTAGGTATATTTTATTTTTCTCTTAATTATTAAAGATCTGGATTTAAATTTAAAATTTAATTTGGATCTATCTATAAAAGAATCCAAAACAAATAAAGAATATTTTCATCTTATACTTACTATTCTTAATTAATTTTTCTCATCATTATTTAGATCATTTATTTCTAAAATTAAATCCTATCATTTAAACAATAATAACATTCAGAATAAATTTTAAACTCAATAATAGATGGAGCCTAATTCTAAAATATACATTCCAACTTAGCATTCTGTTAAGTTTTTTACTTCTATAATTGATGTAAAATAATTTTTAATTCTAATTTTAAATTTACTAATAATTAATCTTATTGATTGAATACTTAAATTAAATAGAAATGAAAATATAATCAAAAATATAATTTAAAACATTATGTGGTTAAGATGTTATCATTTATTAAATAATCTGTTCTTCCTATTCAATTTCCATAGGGTCATAAGAATGTTATAAAATTTTGCATGAATAAGCTCTTTTTATAGTAAATTATTAAAGAAATATATAATTTTCAGATTTAAAGCTCCTTTCTTGCTGTAATACAAATTTATTTTAGATTAATAGAAAGTAATGCAATAAATAAGTGTCTCTGTAAGTTTTAATTCATTTTTTTAAATAAATCACACATTTATAGTCAACACTCTATTCCAGACTTTCTAATTTACCTATTCGATAACCACCTTATCCATGAAATAACCATAAAGAGAATCTTAAATCTCCTTCCTCATTATCTACATCAGGAAACTTAAGATCAATTTTACTCATTGGACTAAACCCAATACATCTATTTCGTATATAATACCAATAAACTTAACCATTCCTACTTTTTCTTGCCAAATGTAAACTTTAAGTTTCTGTATAGAATTCATAAGCATTATCTATTGCACATAATATAAATTAATCTGGCTCCTTTATGCTTACTCCCCCAATGCAAATTTATGATTATTAATTACATTTAAGCTTTATTAATTCTATGTGTGTTTGAGTAAATGGTTTATTAAACACTTCATCATAAACTTTAACGAAACCTTTCATTTCTAAACTCTTTAATTTCAATTATTTCTAAATACAAAACTATATCTGACCAAAAGTATCTAATTAACTATATTGATCTAATTCTAATCTCTGATTTGATTAAGTATCACTTTTATCATGTCCAAAAATCCTCTTACTCTAAATTATCTGACTCAGAGGACGTTCTATTAAATTTGTTAGATTTTAAATTTAATACAATAATTCTTATACTTATTCTGTAAAACTCTAATGTATTATATTTGCTTTTGAAACTAATGTAATATCTTTACAAAATATGGCTGCATCAAAAACTAACCTATTTGCTAAGCATTATAACTTATCTGATGGTTCATAATCTATTGGTTTAAAATCAGGAATCCCTTCTCGATAATAAATAATATTATTTATGTCTTTTGCTAATTATTCGAAATCTTTTTCAGTAAGATTTTATTAATCAATGTATTTATGTTTTATAATACAAACTTTACTTTCTTGAATTTCTTAATTTATAAAATTTGATATTGATTCTTTAACAAATTTGATTTTATTTAGAATAGCTGTTATGCTCATTTGAATAGAATCTGTGAGATCTTTGTTTTTTTGATTATACTATTTTATTTCTCTACTCCATTCATTTTTTATTAGAGTATCTAAATTAGAAAGACTAATTGATTTATGTCCAAAATGTTCCTCTCCTAAACATAAACCACATAATGACTTTTTTGATATTTGACACTTTTAATCGAGACATAAATGAATAATTTTTTGATCTACTTCTTTATGTTCTGGAATTGAACAAAATACATTAGTTGCTTTTTTTAGCAGATTCATAATAAGTTTAAGTTTTTAATTTGAAAGTTAATAAAAAAAGAAAATTTATTTAATGAAATTTTATAGTTGATTTTACTGTTATACCATTTAAATAAATGGTAAAAGAGTAAAACAATAAAAAGTTGGTCAACATTATAGAGTTAGATATTATAAATTATTAATTATAAAAATAATAAAAAAATGAATTATAAACCGAACCTGAAGATGGATAGTACTTCTGGGTCGTTTAAAAAGCAAGAGTAGACCTCGTCTCTCGAAAATACTCAAAAATCAGATTTTAGTGGAATAAATATAAAACCAAATTTTGCTTGTAAACCAGTGTTCAATATTCGCAACTGTTCTCCATAACCTTAAGAAGAAGAACCTTAGTTAACTAATACGAAAGATGATTTCTTTAAAACAGGAACATTTTAAGAAAAAATCCCACTTAAAGATAGAATCTAACGATCTGATGAAAAAAAAAATACAGCTCCTGTTACAAAAGGATTATATCTACCTGGTTAAGAAGAGCTTTTTAGAAAATAAATATAAGTAGAGAAAAAAGAGATATAATAACCTTAAGAAAAAAAAGAGGTTTAATCTGGAAAGTTAATTTAAGGAGAATAATATATGCCTTCAATTGGTTAAATAAATAAAAGAGAAGCTGCTTAATTAGGTTCTAAGAATCCTATAGAAAATAAATTGGCAGTAGCAAATTAGGAAAGAGTATTATAATAACTTGGTAAATTATATTATAATATAAATAGATGAAGCAGAACCAATAGAAGAACTTGAATTAATTTTATGTCCAGAAGGTTGTGGTAGATAATTTAAATAAGATGCTTTAGAAAAACATGTAAAAGTGTGTAAACAAGTATTTCAATAAAAAAGATAAGAATTTAATTCAAAGTAAGCTAGAGTTATTACAAATGATCAATAAAAATTATAACGTTAAGGCTAAATAAAAGAAAAATAATTATAAAAAAAATAAGGAAAAGCACCTTTAGATCCTAATTGGAAAAAACAATCAGAAGAATTACGTAATTTAATAAAAGAATCTAAGTAATAATAATGATTATTTTATGATTAATAATACAATCAAATCCCTTTTTCATTCCTCAAAGACAATACCTTCATCTAATTAATTTCATAACAGATGTGTTTGTGAAATATGTAAATGTGGTAAACATCATTGTCCTATTCATTCCGATAATATACATGGTGATTTTTAGTCTACATTCCAGTATAATTATTCATTAATATTAGACATGACTACCAACCATGGAAATCTTGTAAATAGAAACCTTATAATTATGAAAGATAACCTTAAAAACATTTTTATGACCCATCTACATTGTTAAGTTCTTATCAAAGTGAATTTATCTAAAGACCGATTCCTGAAAAAGAAATTAGAGAATTACCACATTTACCATAATCATTACCTTTTACTGATTAATCTGATTATCAGACAAATTATTTAAAGTAATATACACATAAACTATTCAGATTTCCATTGCCTTTGAAATCCCCAGTTACAAAAAAACTATATAAATCTGCTCCAAGATAAGTTCCATGGGACACAACTTATGGAACCGATTTTATTCCAAAACCAATTGGAGATAGAGAATCATTTAAACCTACTTAATTAAATGGTCCAAATTGTAAACCTGATTTTGGATCTTCTACATACAGAACTTCATATGTTCCAATGCCTACTTGTAAACAAGGGAGATATAAAGACCCTCATTAAAGAAATTTATATGGAAATCCTGGTCAAATTGGGGGTTCAACATATCAAATGGATTATGTAGAAAAACAAAATTCTAATGAAATGTGTCCAGTATTTGCTTTACCTAAAAGACCTGCAAAATTACCTGGTGGTAAATCCCATCTAAATTATGATTCTATTAACAATAGATGGATTTGATTATTAATTATGATGTTAATAATTTTGAAGATTCAATAAAATAATTTCAAAAATTTTATATTTTCTTTTTTTTTGTTATAAATTTATGATTAAAGAGTGTGTGAGTTTCCTTTAAAAAATACTTTAATATAAATAGTGTAAAATATATCATCATCTCATTTCTTTTTTGTAGCCATACTCATTAATTTTTCTTCCATATCCTTTTATCTTGATATTAACTTTTCTTATAATTCTTATTTAGCTAAATCAAGTTTTCTTTATATTGCTTCCATTATAATTGGATCCAATAATTCTTCATCAGTTGGTTCAGGTGGAGCTTATTAATCTTCCTAATCAACAGTTTCAATTTATCCATCATCTTCAGCTTTTTATTCATGAGGTCGATAAATCAATGCTTCATCTAATGGTAATGGCTACAAAGGCGTATCTACCTATAAATCCATATGAAGTTCCAATGTTCTTTAATCTGATTTTAAGGCTTGAATCATCAAATCTATATGATTTAAATAAATTTTAAAATGATCTTTAATTGGTAATATATGCACTGATCTAAAATATCCAATTTCTGCATGTGTTTTTAATAAATTATTAAATAATTCTGCATCTGTAATTTAATTCTTTTATTGAATAATACTATTGTATCTCAACTCTTGACTAAACTTGGTGTTATTATTTGTAAATGATAAAAACAATATGTTTATCAATACTTATATACTTTCATCATTTAAAAATTTCAATGATTTTGCAAATATTAGATCATTAATTAATATATCAGCTGTTATCTAAAAATCAATATCTCTCAACTAATCTTTACAGTTACTAATTTCAGCAAGCTTATAATTTATAATCTGCTTTTTACTTTATGTAAATATTCTATTGTTGCCTTATGTGGTTCTGGATGTGGATAAACATGATCAATATAATATTTAGTTATTGGCAGTGGTAAACTAATATTTTATACATTAAATTACTTTGTATTATTTAGTTTACTAATTTTATATTTCTCCATCTCTTTTCGCTATTTTTCTTCTTCCTCTTCTTTTAGTCTTTATTCTTCTGCTAATCTAGCTGCTTCTTCTTCTTTTTATTTTTGTGTCTTAGGGGGCATTTACAATTATTTAATAATATTTAAAAATATTCTAAAAGTTCATATATTTTTTATATATAAAGAATTTCTTTCTTAATTCTTGTTTATTCAGTATCAAGATATTTTATATTGCAAAAAAATACTGAAATATAACGTAAGTTTCCGACAAAATTTAACTTTAAGAGACTTACTTCATCTAAGCGTCTTTAATAATTTTCAATTAAAGATGAAATTAAATAAAATTCATATGTAATTCATACTTTTAAAGAAGAACTTTATTTTCTGATTCTTTTTAAGAATGGATTTTTTGAGAATAAAGTCTTATAATCTGTTTCTGTTTCCTTCAAAATATTACCACAAGAAGACAGGGTTTTTGAAGTTAAAACATCAATAATTTGTCTGTTTGATCTTTCATATTTTAATTGTTTAATCAGAGGGTTTGTTTTCATTTTAAGACCTATATTTTTTAAGTATCGAGTGACACTTTTCTCAATTTTATGTGATTCATTTCCTTAAAGCTCATTTAAAGTAATTTCAATAGAGTTATCAGAAAACTCATCATAATCTTCCATTCTAATTATTAATGAAATTATTCATATCAATGATAAACATTTAAATATTAATTTTGTTGTATAAATTTTCTGTTTAAACTCATCACTAAATTTAGAAAATATTAATATATATCTTAATGGATTGAACTATATTTACAATAAAATTAATTTCTTGCTTAAATTTGTCTATAATAAATTTTTGAATTAAATCAATAATTTATGTTAAAAATCTACCATTCAAGAAGTAATTTTTGTGGCTTGCTATTTTGAAAAATAAAATTATTTAAAGATTAAATACATTATTATTTAAATTATGAGAACTCGAAAAGTTCAAGATGGTTCAGTAGGTTTTGATATAAGAGGATAGAGTTTGCCTAAATTTAAAAGAAAAGGCTAATTTGAAAATTATGATGATATTTTATTAGATATTCCAAATGGAGATTTGATTGAAGGGAAAAATTATTATAAAACTAATTGTGCATCTTGTCATCATTTAGGTTTTATTTTATTTTCTTATTATTTTTAGATTTTGAAACTAATTTAGGACCTTCAATAAGAACTGAAAATTTAGAACTAATTGGTCTATGGAATATGGAGGTGGAGATTTAATTTCTTGTTAAAAATTCATTTGGAATAGAAAAAAATTATGGCAATTTTTATAAAATTCAGAAAAAATGTTTTTAGATACTGCTATGTAATTAGATGGAATTAATGATCCATTTATACTTGCTAGTGTTATAACAAAAAAATAGTAATCTGAAATCTAAATATGTTATCAATCTATTTAATACTCAAAATAGTTTATATTAAAATGACTCAATCTATAATTATATATATGTATTTCTCTTATTATTCATCAATCTGTATACTAAATGATCAAATTAATATAGAAAAATTTTGGTTATTTCATTTTATTAAGTTGGAATCTATGCTATGATATAATAATAATATTCCTATTTTATATATTACTATGAATTAAATAACAAATTACATATGGATAAATAAAATAGTATATAAATAGAAATACAAAATTTCTTTTTAAAGACTAAGACTAAGATATTTCTTTGAAATAATAAAAGAAAGATGACAACAAAAATAATGTAATTAGATTATTTGACAAAATCATTTATTTTAAGGAAATAATAGAAGATTGTCTCATGAAAGATAAAAAATTAATTTTACTCAATGAAATCAATGAATTATCTTCATTAGGCGAATTTCTAATTACTTCTGTGAAGAAAAGGAGGTAAGGTTCAAAGTTTCAATAAACAATAAATAAAAAATTCATATGTAGATAAAGATTGGAAACACGAAATATGTATATTTATCAATATGTTTTCTTATCCGCTTTTGTACCAATCAAATGATAAAGGATTATCATCACAACTATTCCAATTCCCAATGTATTGCACAACAGCATAATTTCATATTCCATAGATTTATTTATATATATATTATATAATCAATCAAATATAAAAATTTGCTTTATCTAAGATTTATTTAGAATATCAAAATATCAATGGCAAATATCAAACAATCATTATATGATAGAATTGATTTCTTTTGTTATATATTAATATTTTGCTTAATATGAAAAAGATTGTATTTAACTATTTTAGATTAAAAATAAATCATATCTTTAGCTCACAGGCTATAAAATATTTAATTGATATTGATTTTTCTATTGTTTGAATATCAAACCTAATGTATTTTTCATACTCATTAGACATATTGTTCTCAATCAATCAAATTAAGATCAAAACCAACTGACATAAGATGGGATTATATGAAAGTTTAAAATAATAAAATAATGTGTTTTAGTATATAATTACAAAGCAAATTTTGAAATCGTAGGATGATTGTAAAAAAAGGGGATTTCTTTAATTATCAGTTTTTTTATTAAAAGATAAATTAAAGTGCTTATAAAGTTTTTTCTTTTACTCAAAATACCAATTAACAGAACTCAATTGGTAGATCAAAATTCAATTCATAAGATAAAACAAAATAAGAAAATCAAATAAAAGATTTATAACAGCATCCTTATCAATTTAATTTAAGTTTTAATATCCTTTTATTATTCAGTTTTGACCTCTTTAAACTCTCCCTCTTTTGTAGAAAAAACTAATTCCTTATATTACTCAGAAATAAAAACCTTATTATTAATTAATTTATTTAGAATTTTCATTACGAATCATAATAGGAATCATTAGATGCTAATTTTAATTTAATTTTAGGATATCTATTATTAATCCATTTTTATGGAGTAGCAACTAGATTCTATCATTTTGAATCTCTATAATATTCTTTTTTTATTTCTAATAAAAATTCTTTTTAAAAAATAAAGTGCAATCCTTCTCTTTAGAACTTCATTCAATATTTAAACTCTATTATAAATAATATAATATTTATGGCAATTTAGCTTTAACATTATTGTTCAACAATCATTCAAATACAATTTATTCTAAAGTACTTCTTTCTTATTTTTTTTGGAATGTTAGATTATATTGTCATTTTTTTATTAATAATGATAGTCTTAGTGTTGTTAAGTGTAATAATAAGTATATAGTCTTTGAATCTATCTGTTTTTAGTCTAATCAGAATATAAGTTTGTAATCATTTAACTAATGTTTTTAAAATAATTTAACTAATAATATTTTTAGTTACTCTTAATATAATATTAAAGTTAATTATATATCAAGAATATGAATTAGTTAGTGTTTCCATTTTTCTTTCTTCTTTATCCAACATAATTAAACTTTAATTGAAACGAGGTTTATCTGTTTTAGTAAATCTTCCTTATTCTCTTGATCGATATTCAGCTAGATTTTTTCTGATAGGATACCTATAATAAATAAATTAATATTTTTACCTAACTTATTTCCATTATCTATTATGTTTTTTTTCTAAATAAGCAGCAACTTTTGCCGCTCTTTCTTCTTTATTTAATTTTTATCCTGGATTTAAAAGTTTTTATTCAATGAGAAAGTCATCCATATATCTTTTTTATCTCTGTTCTTCTACTTTTATTTCAGTTTTGAGAACTTGTTAGGCTTCAGCCATTAATTTTTCATAATTAGCAGGCATTCCAAAAGGAATAAAAGGTAGTCTTTATTAAGTTTATGCTATATTGTTTTATATTTATTAAAGATCATTTAAGGGTTTAGTTAAGATATCTGAAACATCTAATTCTTCTCCTAATTTTAGATATTTTTAAATTCCCATCATCAGTTATGGTTGAGTGATTGTTCTATCTTATTATTAAACTTGAGTTATTGCTATCTTAACGTATGGTTGAAATGAACTTGAAGGATTTCCACAACTTAAAGTCAGTCTATTAAAACTTTCATTTAATTTCTCTCCAGTTGATTCACTTCCCTCACTTCCAATACTTAACTTTCTTCTTTTATTTATTACTTCATTATTCTTATTAGTATTGTATAACTTGAAACCTAAACTCATTTAATTTAATTTATTTAAGGCTGTATTCACCCTAATATTTTATTATTATCAAGATTATATAATCAAATTATAATATATTAAATTTCTACTTTTAAATTCAAAAGCAGTTGTTCTAATCATTTTTTTTGTATTAAAATCAAGTTTTCCTTTATATTTTATAAAAATTTAAATATATTATATATTTTTGCATCTCTATTTGAATGTTTGATATTGAATTTTATCTTATAAGTTTTCTTAAGTATAATGTAATTATTATTATAATTTAAAATATTTAGAAATTCAAGATTTTTCTAATTTAATTATAATTAATAAAATTGTATATAAGCTTATTTTTGTTTTACAAATTAATAATAATCATGAATTGATATTATTATACTGATTCAGCTTACATTTTGTGAAGGAATCAGTGTCACTTTTATATATTACATAATCGCCATCTAAAAAATATATCAAAAAGTGTTTTAATGAACTAGAAAATAGCAAATCACTATAATCTTAATTGAGTTAAAATATTTAATTAGAATCTGAAAATGTTTTCAACTTATAAAGGAGAGTTATAATAGTCCCTTAAGAATTTTAATATGGAATAGCAACAGCATTTCCTTTCAAAGTAACATAACTTATTGGAGTCCAATCTTTGTATCTATTTAATACAGCTTCAATAATGGCCTTATTGCCTTAATATGAAATTTAATAATTATCTTCAAAATCAGTAGAAATAACAAACTCAGATAAATTTTCACTTACTTTTACTAAAGCAGCACTTTTGAATTTGGTTGTTGATTTTAGAGAAATAATAGTTTATCTCAAAGGAATGTATCCTTAACTATAAGGAACCAAATTATTAGTTCTGAAAATTGAATCAACCCATAATACACCATCATTTCTATCAGTCATCAATAATCGATAAACCAATTACGAATCCATATAATATGATTTGATATCAAAATCTGTTAAAAATAGACTACTTCTATTAAAGTAGGTTTTATCAAAAATGTAAGATGTTGTTCTCATGTACCAAGAAGTAGTTTATACAACTATAGTATAAAATAAGACTCTGTCATTTTATAACATTATAAAAGTGTTTCCAATAACAAAAGCTTTATCAAATAATTAGATTCCAAGAGGAATATAAACTATACCTCCAAAAGGATTGCAATTTACTCCATTACATTAATATCCTTATAAGTAAGCTTCAGATCCGTTTTGCTGACAACCAACAAAAAAGATATTTCCTAATGGATATCCAATTACTCTATTACAACTATAACCAGTAGTTTTAGGACCAAGTGTTGAATTTAAAACATTAAGATCGGAATCCAGAAGTAAAAGTTTTTTAGTTGTTTAAATTACATCAATAGTTCCATTTCCAAATTTTGCCTTATCTACTAAATCCTCATAAGTATCAATATCGAACTCTTATTCAAATAAACAATTAACATTATTCAATTAAGACAAAGCCTAAGGGAGCAGAACATAAAATATTAATGACATCATTATTAAAATTAATATAATTGCATTTTATTTATTTTTTCATATTAAATATATTATTTTATAATATTTATATGAAACTCTAAAATAAAGTGTATATAAATAAGAATCCAAATTAGTTTCAAATATTTTATTCACTTTTAAATGAATGATCCCCAAACTTTTCTTTTTATTTTTTATACACTTAATTGAAAATTACAGATTTCTGTATTCTTTGATTAGGTTAAAGAATGTCTAAGATCACTAAAAAAACCAAATCAAGGATTAAGAGAATCATCAAATATAATCCATAAATTTAACCATTACTAAAACAATCTTTAAATCGTTTAAGTAATGTTTAATTTGATTTTTAAAGTATCTAATAATATACTTTTTCAGTTCTTTCTGCTACTTGTTCCCAACTATACATCTATTTAACAAGTTCATGTTATTAATAAACTTAAAAGTTTTTAGAGAGTGGAATAGCCAAAGTAATTTTATCACAAATGTCTGAAGGAGTTGGATTAGCATATAAAACCATATTTTAAGGTAACACTTCTTTTATTCCTCCTACATTGGTAGAAACAACACATAATCCACAAGAAGCAGCTTCAACAATTGCTATACAGAATGCTTCAGTTAAAGAGGTATTTAGAAATATATGACCTCTATTTAAGACATCTTTAACTTAATGACTTGGAACACTTCCCAACTAAATTTATAATTATTGAATACTAATTCAGTTTAATTTTATAAATGATATCTCTAAATAGTATCTTCTAGTATTCTTTTCTTAGGTCCATCTCCGCCAATTATAAAATATACTTCAGGATGTTATTTACAAATTATTTATAAGACATCAACAAGTAGATCTACACCCTTTCTATATGTCATACGACATATAACTACAATATTAATTTTATTGAGTGGATATCTTTTTTAGGGATTGGGTGTAAACTTATTACAATCTACTGCATTTGGGATTACAGAAATCTCTCTAGGATCTAAAGATGCTCTCATTGATAAATTCTCTTTACTAACATGAGATACAGATATTGAATGATCTGTTTCACATAAAATGTACTTTAGAATTTTATTAACATGAAAAGATGCTGCATCATTGAATGCAAATAGAGAATGATCTGTAAATACTGTTTTAAAACCCATAGATTTAGCATGTAATAATAATTCACCTCCTAAATATGATGTAGCTGCATGAGAATGAACTATATGTATTTCTTCTCTTAATAATATTTATCTAAATAATGGGAGAGTTCCAATATAAGTGAATAGAACAACTGTCTAAATAGCAGGAATAAATGGACAATAATAAACTTTTAATCCATTGGTCATATATCGAACTCCAGATCTTCCTTAATATTTATGAGTTATTACTATTACTTTATGTCCTCTTTCGATTAGACCTATAAATATTCATACAATCTTAATTACATAATCCAAGTTAAAATATATGCATTTCTACACCTCCTAAACAAGGATAAAAAAAATCGCAGATTAAACAAATGTTAACCATACAACTAAGTAATTAGTTGTTTTCAACTTTATTATATAGCTTTAATTAAATTTATCTATCAATTTCTGATAAAAGTAATTTAAAAACATAATCTCATCTTATTTGAAATAAATATTTTAAGGCAATTCAATCTTGATCAAATTTTACTTTACTCCTAATTGCAAGTAATTATAAAATAATAAATAATTCATATAATTTTGTTTAAACTTAATATAAAATTTATAAAATGCAATCATTTTAATTTAACATTAAATAGTATTTTGGCTAATATAAAACAATGTTCATTGTTTTAAATAAAGTTATATATTATAGAAATTAAGATAATAGTTTGTATCTTTTTCTGAAAGTATTTGAAAGTTACAAAATTATTTAAAGAATATTAAATAAAAATAAAATCAATAATGTGAAATCATTATCTTTTTTTAATCCATTCAACAATTTTGGGAATAATTTCAAGGATTTCTTATTCAGCTATACAATCATGCCACATATTTTCATAATAAATGAGTTCTTTATCAATAGAAGGACTTAATTTGATAAGTTCATGTCCAACATCAGGATCAATAGCTTGATCCATTCCTCCTGATATAACTAAGAATGGTTTATGATAATATTGAAAAGTATTAGGAGCTTCTCTCATCATTTTTAATAAATTTCTAGCTGTTCCTGGTAAAGTAGCATTCCAATTAATAAATGGATCTTTCATATGATCATCTAAAATTTATGGATTCTTTGAAACATTTGGAAATGAAGCAGGAAAGGGTGACCAAGTAGGTATGAATTTACCTAATAATATTGCAAGCTTTTTTAAATAAGGTCTATTATAATAATTATCCATAAGTGCTGGAGTGATTAAGATAGTTCCATGAACAAGATTATTCATGCCTATAATGTAAGATGTTAAACCACCTAATGATTATCCTAATGAAAACAATTAAACACCAGGATACAATTATTTAATTAATAAAATAAATCTTGTACAATCTTCTATGTGTTATTCTTTCGATTCAAGCCATCCTCTTAGACCTTCGCTCCTACCAAATCCTCTATAATCAAAGCCTACACAAACACTATTTGCTTATTTACTCAATGCCTAAGCTATATGAGCATATAATCCTAGATGTTCATTTAATCCATGAAAAAAAATAGTTACAGATTATGGAGATTAATTTGATTTTGTGAAACATCTATATGTATGTAGCTTAATTATATTATTTCTTTGAACACAACTAAATTAAATCGTACCTTCTTCATCCCATTTACTATTGCCTAATCATTCGATATTATTCCTCTGGAATAGCATTTTAAATTCTCTCATTTCTGATATCTTTCTCTGATTTTTAGAACCAATGCATATGAATTTTAAAATAATAAATAGTGATTCATACTATATTATTAGATTTAAATTAGATAAATAACGTTATTAGAACTCAAGATTATCTTAAATTCTTTGTAATAAGATCAATTTATAGGGGATCAATCATTAGACTATTTGGAAGTAAAAATGGATTATTCATAAGTTCAAAGGGGTATTTTGGTACCATTTTTAAAAGCATCTATTTTTAAGGGGGTATTTCTATCGGTTGAGTAACTTGAGTTTAATTTTATTGATCTTTATTTACTTAATGAATAAGATTAGCGAATTAAATCCCATTCAATTAGATATCATCAATTTAATCATCTATTTATTATTAACAAATTCTCAGTTCTTTTTGTTTTAGTTTAATTTATTTAATGAGACTAAGATAATAGAAAATATAAATACAAAGAGAAATTTTTTTTATGATCAATGACTCTTCTTACAATAGCATATAAATTTAAAAACACTTTATCATCACAAATTCCTGTAGAATCTCTAAGATTTTTCATATAATCAGTTAATTCTTCTTCATCATGCATGGTATCTAAAATTAGTTATTAAACTTTACATGTTTTTGAAAAGTAACTTTGTCCAAATAATAAAGTGCCATAATTTCCATCTAAAAGAAGTCTAGCAATATTTTAGAAACAATATCGTAAATATTACTTTCTTTTAGTACCTGTGGCATTGAACTTAAACTTATATGATTCTGTAAGTAATTATTACAATTCATTAAATTCTTATTCCTTAATCTTGAGCTACTCAAACAATTAAGTTTATTCAACAACCATATCGTATATACTTGAATTTTGTTCTAAGACAGAGTGAATACTCGAAAAAGTTGATTCTGTTGATTTTCTTAATTGTTCGATTGCTTAATTTAAGTCTTCAACCTTCTTTTCTAAAAGGTTTATATATAACTTTTTTCGTTATCTTGAATTTCTTGCACTTTCCCTATTTCTTATCATCTTTTGATCTTCATTCTCTAGCTATTTACTGGACGAACTTGGCTCCTTTTATACTTTTTTTACGATTTTTTCGTTTTCACCTTCGACACTTAGTAGAGAATGTATCTTTTTGATATAAGTGTTCTTAACATGACCTTTAATGTTCTATAATCCGAAAGCTTCATCTTTTAATGAAGCCTAAGAATCAATCTAAACCATAGATCTCTCCTCAAGTTTAACATCTTGCTTTGATAAACTATAAGGTAAAAATGATGGCATTAGAAATCTACTTCTCACTTAATCTTCTTCAAATTGTTCAGGTAAATGGTATTCTTGAAATTCATTTAACTTTTGCATCACTACTTATGATAATAATAATTGATTAATGACGTCTGAACAGACATAAATAGTATAATTGTTATAAAAATAGCTACTTTCGACATAAGAACATTTTTATAATAATTTTTTATATATTCTTTTATTCAAACCTAACACTCTTTATCTATTTTATAAAATAAGATCTCTCCTCTTTATTCATTATTAAATTCTTAATCGAATATTGTTATAATATATATATTATGCTTATATTTCACTACATATCCATTTATTTTAAATAATTTCATTTAGAAATCAATCATTGCTATCAAAATTATGATTATTTTTTATTCTTCATCACAGAATGAAATTGATTATTTATGACTCATTTTTAAAAATATTTTAAACTTATTTAATTAGAATTCTAAGCACATTTATTTAAATTGGTTATCCCATTAACTTATTATATTGAAATTATTTATTTCAAATGTTTTATAAATTATTAGGATTGAATATAAGTTTATAAATTTATCTATATATATTTAAGCATAATATTTCTCAAAAATTCAAAATTATAAAGAAAGTAAAATCAAAAAATTTAGCATGCACAACTTTCTTAAGTTCTTTCAACTAATTTATTTTTTTTATTTTATGCTGCATTTTTAGATTTAGCGAAATATGTGGAACTAGCCATAATTTAAAAATGTAATTATGCTGATTAAGGTTCAACAAGTAATTTGTATTATTCTTAAAAATAATTCAATATTTATATAGTGTCATCTATTCCTCTTATCCATTTTAAACCTTTTATATATAATAGTTTTGGATTTGACAATTATTCTAATTAAAGAATTTTTTCAACATTTTAATTGAAGCATTTAATATTTTAAATAGAGGCAGACATTGATATAGCTGCTTTCTAGATTTCAGCATTTAGTTATTAATTATTTTTTGTTTTATTTGAAAATACTTTTAATATCTATCCAATTTTTTAATCTTAAAATGAATTGATTCCTAAGCTTAAATTTATTTCATTTATAATTTATTCTGTTATTGGTAGAGGACAATATTAAAGATAACTTTCTTTTGAACTTTGAGTCACATCACTATTAAACTCAGATATGCTTTTATTCTAAGAAAATAGAGTGGATTTTTTAGTTTCTCCTGATTAAGACTTAGAAAAAGATTTAACAACTTATGTTTTCTAACTTGCTTTTCTTAATTTATTCCTTATCTATCTTAAATGAACATCTTATGCATTATTTTTTGCATTAAATGATGAGAAAGTACTTTATGTCTAAAATGCCTAATTTTTTTATTGTTTTGTTTCAAATAAAATTTTATCTTATTCTGGAAGTAAAGGTTCTAAGGATTAATTCACTTCATTTATACACTGTTATATATTTTTACCTTCATTAAATTAGTAAATTTTCTTTGCAACCTTTATATAATTACTTAATCTCCAATACATTGATTAAAAGTAAACTCGATCTTCTAGTTATAAAAGTTAATGTTTTAATTAGGATTCTTCAGTATTTAAAGATTCCCTCACAATCTCTTAAATTTTCTCTTCGTCCTTCTAAGTAAATGTTGAATTTGTATTCTCAAATTCTAAATCATAATTCCAAAGATTTCTATATTCCTAATCTAAACGTTAATAAAACTAAGAAAATTTTTAATCAAATGAGTCTTAGTTTGAGTCTAAAATCAATAACAGTTCTGTTTTTGCTTCTTCTAAAAATTTTTCTATTTCCTCAAGTTTTTATAGTGCTTACCATTAAGGTTAAACATTCTTAATAATTTCTTTTAATTAATTTGATTTCTAAAGGTTATTTGTCAATCTATATAATTTTATTAAATTAAAAATAATCACAGGGTCATTTTTTGATATTTTTAATCCATAATTTAAATATTCTATAGCTTCATTTATTTTGTTAATTTTACTTAAAGAAACAGCTTTAAAATATTACTAATTTATATTACCTTTATTATTGAATCCATTAATGAGTTAAGGGTTTAGCATAAGGGCTTTATTGTAACTTTCAATAGACTCTTCATATTTTTTTAATTTATATAAGGTGAATCCTATTTTACTATAAAAAAACTACCTTTACTATAGTATGCTATGTGGCAATTAGGTTATTAAGCAATTGCTAAATCATATATTAATAGGCATTCCTCATATCTAAAAAGATCTAGACACAGAATCCCTTTGTTAATTAAAGTTTCATATTTAATTTAGTATGATAAAGAAATATCAAAATTCTTGATAGCTTCCTCTTTTCTATTCATCTCATTTAATATTAAACCTTAAAATCTATTAAATTATGATACCTATATTGTAGTAAACAAAATAGTACTAGGTTTTTAATTTTACACATTCTTCGTAGTTTTTTAAAGCTTCCTTTAGATTTTTCTGCTTTCTATAGATATCTCCTATAAAATCTTAAGAGAAACAACCTTTTAAATAATATGCTTCTACATATTAAGGCTTAAGATAGATAGCTTAGTCAATATATTACATGGCTTCATCTAATCTTTACAATTAAAGAAGTATTTAGCCTTGTGATTAAACTAAAACTGATACTTTATTTGTAGAATTTTTATGCATCATCTTAATCTGAAACTGTTTCTTTTGGATTTATCAAGCCTTAAAAATAATTATTTAAAAAAAAGTACCATCAACAAATAAATGCATAGAGGAATTACTTTTTGATATCTGCATTGTTAATTAAAATAATTACAAAAAATTCATCATACTTTCATATAGTCATTCTAAGTTTTGTAACTCCAGAAACAAAAAATTAATTATTTATAATTAAAAATGTATGAAGTTCATTTCAATTTATTTTTTGTTAAACTCGATTACAACTCTTAGCATTTGCCTATATTTTAAAAATATAAAACTCAAAGTTTTAGAGTCATTTACTTATTATTACTTCCAATTATAATATATTAACCAGATACATATACTCTAATTAATTTTATGAATTTCTTTGGTGCAATTTCTAAATATTTATCTAAATATTCTTCAACAATTAAGTAAAGAATCTAAAGTTATTATTTTATTACTAATTCATAATAATGTGAATTAATTCATAAACATAAAAAATGAATTTATTGACTCAAAAAGTTTTTAAAATTCTTGAAATAAAATGAAAATTTTGATTTATTAAGTAAGACAAAACCGAATAGATTTATTTATGAGGTTCTGTTTTAAATTTTTATTAATTGGAAACTATAAATACATATTTGCTAAGAATCATACAATTTATATTTTTAATTAAAATATATAAAATGTATAAAAAATATAACTTAATATTATTGTTAAAGGAAATAGAAGTGTAAATTAATCATCTTTTATCTATGTGAAAGAGTCAAAGAATTAAGAATTTTGAAAAGAAAGATAATATTTAGATTATATTTTCTAATGGCAATATTATTAAGCAACCATAATTATATATCGATTAAGGTTAAAACAATTATGAACCAATATTGCTCCAAAAAATTGTTAAATATTTTTAAAAATCCTTACTTCTAATAAATCAATAATAGATCTAAATTATTTTAGATTATTAAAATTCTCATTTTGTGGAGTATTTTAGATTAAATGTAAACATGTATTTAAAATAATTTTCTTGTACACTGTTAAGCAAATATTTTATCAACTAAATTATAGATTCAGTTGATAGAATTTTAATTATTCACTCTAATAATGAATATTATTAAAATGTTTACAATAAAGATAAAGACATTTGAAAAAAGTGAACAGTCTAAAAATATGATGAATTTTTAGACAAAGAAAATTCATCAAAAATAAGGTTATTCCATCAAACTATAGATATTTATTAATGTAGTAGAGCTTTAGATTATAAAGTCTAGAAAATCTCAGTGGCATCTCACTATTATTAATATTTAAAATCTATATCAAAATTCAATCTGCCACTTAAATTTTATTTATTTTTATAAAGGTAAACAAAAAAATTAAACTCTCTGGAATAGTATAAAATTTATTCACAATAAAAATTGTTCCTTTAAAAATATTTTAGTTTTCATAATTTTTTCAAAAATATTTTTTTTTCTATTATAAAAAACTTAGTTCTATTATTTTGAATTTTTTGGTTATTTAGTTCCTTAAATATCTAATTCTTGAAGTAAAAATAATTAATACTAAATCATTGTAATTTTTTTTTTAAACAATAAAATTTATATTAATTATATTGTGAAATATTTAACCCTTGTATAAATGGGTGATGACTCAAATCAAACATAAATTTGGTTAATAATATGCATTATAGTGTTTCTTTTAATTGCAATGATAGTGTTTTTAGTTTTAAAAAGATTCAGAAGAAAAAATAAAAGTAAAAAGCTAGAAGAAGAAATCAATAAACTTTAGCAGTATGTAAATTCTTGTGACAGAAAGCTTGAAAGTCGGGGTGATAATATCAATACTTAACCACAATTATAAAATTAATCAAGCTCATTTACTAAAACAAATCCAATATATTAATAAGATTAAGAAATTTAAAATGAAAAAAAATAGAAAATATTTTATGATCTTGATATTGATAAATTAGAACGGGAAATCATAAATAATGAATCATATTCTCCAAATTGTAATGATAGAGTAAAATAAGGAAAGTAAAATGGATGTAAATAAATTATGGGAATTAAAAAGAAAAATCTACAAATTCAAATTCCTTAAGATTGAAATTTAGCATTTTTTAAAGTTATTCTATTTATAAGATTTATAATCGGATTATCAGAATACATTTTGTTATTCTTTTAAATTGTTTTTTTAATTTTTTGAACTTATTTTACCAGAAATGAAATCAATAACTGATATCCAAAAATTCACTATATTTTTATTAATTTTTGGTCATATTTAGAGAAGTACTCAGTTATTTTTCGACCATATTCAATTTTAATTTACTCTTTCTAAATTTTAGACAGAATAATGATGAATAATTAATTTCTTAGGGAATATTTTGATTATTTTAATAATGATTTAAAAAAATCAATTTTAGAAATACATTTTGAAATCCCTCTCTCAATTCTAAAATATTAATCAAAACCTAATTTAGTGCGATTTAGTTCATCTATTATTTTTATTATAAATATTAGTCTATTTGATTGAATTATAAATACTTTGAGTAAACTCTCTATCTAATTTGATATAGAGTTTTTTTAAATAAGAATAAATTTCTTAATTTATCATAAATTCTATTTCATTCTTAATCAAATAAAAATTTATAAAATTTTCTTTACTTCTCTTTTAAATTTTCAAAACAAGGTAGAAATTTAAATAAAATTTTAAGTTTTTACTCTATTATTGATTTAGAAAATATTGAAGAAAAGTGCTTTTAGACATAAATTACAATTTTAGTGCTGAATTGTTAAAAACTTAATGAAAATTTTCCGAATATCTATGTATGTTAGCATCTTAATAAAATATTTTTTGAATTTATTAAAGCTCATGAATATGTAATCTAAACACATCATTAAATTCAAAGTTAATAAATTATTTATTAAATTTGAAATTAACAGTCAATAATGTCTAAAAAAGTCAAACAGTTAGCAGAAGTAATTGCTTTATAAGAAAAGACAATCGGAAAGCTATAAAAAATAATAGAAAACAAAAAATCTAAATAAATTGGAAATAAAAAGAATCATAGCATAAAATTAGATTAAAAATATTTAGTTGGGTATTTCACCTGAATTTATGTCAGTACAAATGCAAAACCTCCTAGACTAGATTTTACTGAAACAAATAGATCCTTTAGATGTCGACCTTCAATTTCTTAGACCCATAATTAATTGAGTTAAATTTCAACAGACTATATTTAAGATATTTAATCACTTCGAGGAAAAATTGAAGGGCTTTAAAAAGAAAAATAAGATAGATCTTTATTCTTTTAGGATAAAGAAAATTGGAATAATAATAATAATTAATAGAAAATAGAGCATCTTGAAAAATAAATTAAAGATAGAGAATCAACAATAAATGTGTTATAAGAGCAACTTGTTTAGGAAAAATAACTCAGATAATAAGTATATATTTAATTATAATATCTTAATAGACCCAATAAGATTTAAAATAGTAGAGAACAATTTGGAATAGAATGTATTCAGAATTATCAAGCGAAATAAAAACTTTAAAAACTGAATTAAGAGCTTTTTCATCTTAACCTAAAAAAAGATCAAATTAACTATTTTTTTAATGATAAATTTTATAAAAATATAATCATAAGTATTTATCTATAATATTCATTGCTAATTAATTAATTTTAGAATTTTAATAGTAACATAAGTCTTAAAGAAGTTTCTTTCTAATTAAAAGTTAATTCAAAATAACATTATTAATCTTTGAGTCTAAAAAATAATTTATTAACACTAAAACTTCTCCTAAATACTATTAAGAATCAAGAAGCTCAATATAATAATTAAAAAGATATGATTCTTCTAATATCTCAGAATTATATGAGTTTTAATGAATTAGTATTAAAGTTTCTAGTATTTTTTAAGAGGGAATGAGTATTACTAAATCTTAAATCAAATTTTGGTTTGAGATAAAAGGGCAGAGTTTTTCTGAATAGGCCATATCATACAAAAGATGGATGACTAATTAAGAAGTCCTTAAATCATGTAGCTTTGCTCTAAAAAAATCCAAAATATAAGGATGCCTACTAAACATTAAATGAATGAATTATTCATCAGCCATAATATTACATATAAGTTCAAGAGTGTTAAGTTAGCTACCCATAAGATCTACTATAAAATCTTCACATGACAATTCATTAACACTAAAATAAAAATAAATTGTACAAATTGTATGAACGCATAGTTGATTTATGACTGAGTTTAGTAGTTAACATCAAAGCATCTTCATCTTATAAACATATTTACTTCAATAGAGATGCAGCTAATTTTATATATTTTACCTGATTTTAAGTAAAATTTTACTTCTATATTGAGAGAAACTTGATACAAAAAATGTAATGTTAATTTCTGTGCTTAATTTGATTGATTCAATTTATCATATTCTAAGAGCCACTTCAATATTTATTGTGATTCAAAAATATTTTGACTTCTATTTTTTATGAAATCTTGAATATTGAAGATAACATCATCTTCATTTCTCATAATTAAATAATTCATTAATTCTGCATTGTCATATTAGATCATCTTTCGGCTTTTAGAAAAGATCTCTTCATTTTTTTATCTTCTTATTGAAACTCTAAGATTTTCTCTTTTCAAAGAAATACAATTTTATGTCTCAGACATTTTAATTTTCCTTTTTTAATTTATTTCATCCTTAAACTTCATATTATAACTACTTAGTAAAATTTAGAAGAATAATTAAAACAAATTGTATAATCTAAAGTTCTTACTTTTTCAGTCTATGCATAATTTACTTAAATTTTAAATTAAATGGAAGAATAATTGTTCAAAGACTCTAACTATAAATAATATATGATGTAAATATAAATAATAAAAATGAGTTAATTTTCATTAAAAAAAGTAAGAAATAGGAAAACTACCAGATAAATAAATATAAACTGAAATAAAAAAATGATAAAAATAACATGATTGTTATTTTCTTAATATTAGTGATTTGAATAATATGTTGATTAAATCTTGTTAGATAAATTTTATTAGATTAATTGATAATAAAAATAAAATAATGGACGCTACAGGGGATTTGCCTACTTGGAAATTTATTTATTTAGAAGTTTCAATGTTGTTACCTTCAGTTGTAACAGGTGTGCTATTTTGGAAATTTGGATATCCAATGATAGCATTATTAACGATTTTGTTATTCTGCTATCTAATTGTACCAGGATTGCTTTTATAGTAATATATTATTTAAGAATTAGTCTTGATAAGGTTTCTACTCATGTAACAAGACTGTCATCAAGCTTTGCTAACATAGCTTTGGAATAGAGTGAATAATTAAAGAAAGGAATGATATGGTTTGCTGTTTGCTTATCAATATCATTTTTAGCATTCTTTATTTCACTTAGTTATGTCCCTTTCTGGTCATTCCATAGAATCAATTTCTTTTATATGGCAAATACTGAAATTATAGTGGTAAAAAAAATGAATAAATAGTTAGATTTCGGTATTAATGGTCTTATTAGATCCATTTTTAGAAGAATTCTTTTGGAGAGTATTCCTACAAAGTGGTTTTGCTGGAGGATTAACATATACTAATCCTAAAGAATGGATCATCTGGATAGTTGCCATTCATTATGGTTTACTATATGTATTTATCTTTGCTGTAGTAACAAGGTAATTTCTATTACTAATTATATAGTAAATTCGTATATGCAATATTTTGTGCCATACCATTTGTTATTTTCAGTAGAAAGTTTTCATTTATTCGTGATTCTGGGGTTTTAACTGCAATTTTAGGACACACTGGATTTAATCTTGGATTTGTAATTGTATTAAATCTATGGTATTGGAATTAATGGGAAGTTCATGGATGGAAACCATTTGAATTTTGATAAATAATATAAGTTCATAAAAAACAATTATCAAATTTTTATTTTATATCGCTTCTTCTTTTGATTCATAATTTACATAAATATCATTTATTCATCTATCAATAAAAGCAATTTGCTATTAAAGAATGCTAAATGTATCTAAAATTAATAATCATATAGATACCATTAAAAAAGCTTCACTATTTTTATTTTCAGTTAGATAGTTATACTGGCAATAAAGTCATAATTAAGATTTCTATGGCGAAGTAATTTTATTATATACCTGAAAATTTTAATATTGCCAAACAAATGTATTTAATTAAATTATTATGAGAATCCTTTAAATAATTAAGAATCTTTTATTCATTATCTGAGTCTTCAATTACCTTTAGATTTGATAGGCTTCCAATTGTAATTCTACTATAAACAATTCTCCTATTTATTGTTCATATTCTAAGTTAATGATGCTAATTATGTGATAATGAAGTATTTATCTTTTCTAAATGGAATTTATTAACCCTAATATATAAAAAAAATTTACATATAACAAAATATAGGGTTATTTATATCATTGTTTTGTTAAAAAAATCTATTGTAAGCTAGTTTCTAAAACTTCCAAATAAATTTCTAATATTCAAGAATAATTATATTCTCATCACATCCTTAAATAATCCATAAAAATGGAATTAAAGTGTCTCATTAATTTCCTAAAACAATGTTTCAAGCATATTTTTATTAAATTCAGTGTTATCCAATTATAAATTTCTATTTTAATCATAACTTTGGTTTTTTTTGAAGTTATGAAAGGCCTTAAACAACTAACCAAATTTTTCACTTAAAATCATTTTTTTGACTTAATATTCCAATTTTATGTTCCTCATTATTAAAATGAAATAAAACGATATAAGATTTGCACTAGCATCTCAAGGAGCTACTATTTGTGTATAATTTCTTCACCCTTTAGATATAATCAAAACAAGAATGTAAAGTATGCAGCATTTTCATCTTCTTAAAAAGGTCATGACGGTCAGACACACAAAAATCTTGTACCTAAATATGGAAGCATATCAAATGCAATTAAATAAATATATAAGGAAGAGGGATTGAAAGGATTTACAAAAGGAATATTATGGTCATTATGTGCTAATAGTGTAGCAAGAGTTCTTTTTTTTGTTTTGTATTATACACTAGTAAATATAGTTATGAAACAAAAAAAGAAGAATGTAATAAATATTTTGGACATGATTCTAAAAAGTCAATTTTAATAGCATCTATTTATGCTTCTCTCCTAGGTTAATTAATTACACAACCCTTATGGGTTACTTTAACGAGACTGCAATTAAATGTTGGGAAAATGAGTGTATTAATATTATTTTTATTTTAAGGGATTCGAAAATGTCAAATTTACTATTTAACAAATATATCGACAACATGGATTTTTAGGTTTTTATCGTGGTTTAAAAATGTCTTTACTTGCCTCTTGTCATGGAATGATTTAAATAAATAGTTATGAATGGACTCTCTCTTTTTTAACTCAACTTGAATCATACAAAGATTTTAATTCTCTTTTAGCTGGAGGATTTTCGAAAGGATTTGCAATCTTTAGCACTTATCCAATGACCACAATTAAAACAAGAATTATATAAAATTAATATATTGAATCTGAAAATCCAAAATATAAATCTAATTTTGATATTGCCAAGAAAATATTATAGCATGAAGGCTTTAAAGGATTTTATAAAGGGATAACTGCATCTATGCTTAAAGGGATGCCTTCGAAAGCCCTTTATTTTTTCTTTTATGAACATTTTAAAGACATGCTAAATGTGGGAAGATCATAAAATAATTATTGAGTTTTATATTTTTATATTTAACAAATATTAGATTAGTTAGTCTATAAGATTTAGAAATTATTAATCATAAATAAAAAATATCTTTATAAATTATACAATTTCTGGTATGATTTCTTAGACTTCATGCTCTTAAATACAATCATTCTACATGTTCTCTTTTAGATCTTTTTAATTCTCTTCTAAAATTTATGGATTTTTTAGCCTTGAAAAATTAACTGGTCGAATTTAAATTATAAATCTTAAACAATCAATCATTTTCTAATTATTCTCGAAATTCTGCCTATTCTTTTTAAACTGTCTTTTCTCATATTCTTTACAATCAAATCCAACCTTAGTACTATTTGCTTTTTAATAACAACTTAAGTGATATGAAATCTATATATAAGAAGTTTAATTTTTTCCTTTTTGTAAATTCCATATAATTCTCAAAATTTTTTTGTTAATTTATATTTAGAATAATATTTATAAATAAAATTTCATAAAAAAATAAAAATTCATTTCTAAATCATAATTATTCCGATTAATTGATAAGATCTATAATTTATTTGAATTCACTGTTTGGATCAGCCAACAATTTTTGTGGATGGTCGAACTCTGATATCTTACCATCATTCAAAACCATTATTTTATCTGAATTCATGATTGTTGTGACTTTATGAGCAATTGTCAACATAGCAGCATTTTTAAAATATTTTTCAAAAATCTATAAATTAGTATTCTTTAAAATTTTACATCTTTAACATGTTCTTCTGTCTTTTAATCAATATTTGCAGTGGCTTCATCAACTAAAACTATTTATTTATCTTCTAAAACACATCTTGAGATATTCAATAATTATTTCTCTCCTTATGATAAGTTATTTCCTGATAAAGTTATCTCACTTTATAATCCATGTTATTTAAAGCTTTGCATTTCAAACAATCTACATTATTATGCTATTTCTAATATTTTGTCATCACTAAATTAATTTAATGGGTCTAAATTTTCTCTCAAAGTTCCCATAAATATCAAAGGATCCTATGGAATAATTGCAAACTTAGATCTCAACTGATTCAGAGAATATGAATTTATATTTTAATCTTCTATTTCAATTTATCCTTCGATCTAATCCAAAATTGAAGTCAATGCAAAAATAATAGAACTCTTACCTGCTCCTGTTCTTCCAACAACACCAATCTTAAAATTTATAATAATTGTATACTTTTTCGCCTTTATGTAATTGTAATGATATTTATTATAAAACACTCTTTGAATTAGATCTGTATTAAAAGGTACAATTTTCAAGCTTTAATACTATATTGGATTTATCTTTTTAATCCTTATCTTTATTATTTTGATCAGTTGGAGTAATTAAGGGATGATTTTTTTCTTCTAATTCTATTTTACTGAATAATTATTTAAATATAATTACTTTGCTAAATGTAAACATCTTTCAAAACTGATAAAATACATTTGTAAATTTCCATAAGATATTGAAGAATTTAAAAGTAAATTAGAAACAGTTTACATCTATTACAGGACTAGATTAGTCATTTTTTAAGTCTTTCCTGGAAAGAGAAACTTAATTAATAATAAACTTTACACAAATTATAAATAACAATGCTTAAAAGAAATTTGTTATTGATCCAGCAAATGATTGATACCAATATTAAAATCCGTACAAATTTAATTAATTTCCTAAATCAATATCAACATTTTTTTATTATAAAGCTACAACTTTTTCTATTGGTAAGCAACTCCTAACATAAGTAACTCCTCTAACAATTTATTAAAAAAAAGAAAAAACAGGACTTTTAGAAACAGCTTCAATTCTTGTAATTTCTCTCAAACATCTATAGTAAATTACTGTTAAATATATCAGAATAATGAAAAAAAGAATTAACAAAGGTAATGCTGCAATGTTTAAATAAAGGAAGCATGCAAATAATGGTAATAACAAGGATGTTAATTGATATGTTAAGTTTTAAATTTCATTAGGAAATAATAAATCAATATTATAAATATCCTTACTTAACCTATTCATCAATCTCCCAATGAGAATTGTATTATAAAACTTTGTATATGAAGCATTTAATAAGCTATTCATAACGTTATCATGAATAAGCTTTGAAGTATTTAAACCTTTAATTAAATAATAGCTTTTCATTAAAACCATTGCAACTATTATAGGAGCTTATATCATTGGATAATAT